AGGCCATGCCTTGGCTGTTTTCAGCAGAGTCTTTGGAGACTTTGAGAGCAGCCGAGAACATGGGGGAAGTTTCAGGGGTTTATAGGGTTGAGGGTTTGGGGGTTTCCGACATTCCGGGGTACCATGGGGGTACCTCATTGGGTTAAGGTATCCCACTATTTGGGGTTTCTACATTCGGGGTCCCTTAAGGCTGGGAAGCGTGGAGGGCTTTCGGGTCAACGGAGGGGTGCGGATCGGCTTTTGCGGCTTGCCGGGTATGGGCTTCGCGCGCTTGGGGCGTTGGGGGTGTTGCTGAAGGGAAGCTCCAAACCCTAAACCCTAAACCCTCATCCCTAATTCCTAAACCCTGAACCCTAAACCGAAACCGTTTCTTAGGGTCTAGGGTGCTTCGGGTTTAGGGAACTCAGATGCCTGAACTGCAAGCCGCTGTGGCCACACACTGAAGACTAGATATTCCAAAGGTATCTCGGTAGGCCCTTGGGACATTTTACATTTTCCCTTCTTGGGCGAAAGAGGATCATATTCAGGAATATTCTTAACGAGGGTTTGTAGGGGCCATCCTGGGTATTGAAAGCCCTCGAAAACAATCAAGGCCTTTGGTATTGAGCTTTCTCTTGCCAGCTTGGCTACTTGTGACCCAAGCGTTGAAGCTTCTTAAGCGCTTTCTTTCCCTCAAGTCAGAGCGGGTCCGTAAACTCAGAGCCTGTCCCGAAGCATCGCCAGGCAATGTCCTGTTACGAACCGCCATGGATGACGAGGATCACTTCGAGGCCTGCAAGAAGGGACAGTTCAGCCTTCTAGGGCTCAACGCATGTGCAAAAGACCTCATCAGCATCTGCTCGGCTGGGACTTTGCATGTCAAGACGCTCTCGAGTTGCTTCGCAACCGCGCAGCCCGACTACATAAATCTACTTCGGAGGTTGTCCTTCTCCGCTGTGGCTTGTGCCACCAGGCAAGGATTGACTGTGGCGCTTCAACTGTCATGCATTTTGGTCTAGGGTCCGTTGTTTTTTGTTTTGTTTTGTTTCTTCTCGGCTTGCTTCATGGATTGCAGACATGCTCCAACATGACATGTAAGCCAAGCCTGAAGTCAGAATGATGCTTTCAACTGCTGCATGGAGGTCGACCCGGCCACTGTGGATGATGTCCGGGAGATTACTTCCGCTGTGCGCAGAGGCCGGGGCCCCTCGCTGGAGTGTTTCGTCGACCGTCGCAACTGACGCCAATGTGCTGGAAATAAGTCGGGAGAGTATAGGGGTGGTTGGCTCATGTGCCTGGAGGTGCCTCCCCAAAGGAGCTCGGGGAGCTATTCTTGAGCCGAGGACGGGAGAACAAGAGATTGAATTAGAATCAGCTCTGAGGCGTCACCGGGCTTCCCAGCTTTACCTTGATCCACATGTCGGCTCATCACATGCTTGAAGGGTGCTGCTGAGGTCTCTTGAGCTGAGGCGTCTGCACTCATCATGGGTTTCCACTTTTGCTTGCTGTTGTCGGCTGCATGCAGTCAATCGCTGCTGAAGTCTTCAGTTGGTGTTAGTCAATGTACAACGATTGGCCAGTGCCCAGACGTTCGGGATGCTTCCATTGACAGCCCCGCAGTCCATCAGCGTGCCGGAGGGCGGCCAGAAGAGGTGGCTGCCGCGGGAGAGCGGTTTCATTTTGCCGTTTCTGTTGAATAGCTGGTTGTTGAGGCATACCGATTCGAAATCAGATCTTACCATCTGTTCATGAAGACTGGCAGGGGACATTGGATTTGTTTCAGAAGCCAACCTCGCCTTGCTCGGAGGAATTTCAAGCCCCCGTAGCCGTGGCTCAGTCTAGCAATTGTGCTCAGGCCATTCAGTCGCGGCACCTGAACTCGCTGTAATCCTTCACTCGCAGCACCAATGTCACATTCAAAACAAGTTCCGCTTGCACTTATTCAATATCTGAAACCTGAGCTCAGGTCGTGGACCCCGAAGGGTTCTACTCCAGCATAGCCAGCCTACTTGGCAGTAGCCTTACTTCAGGGAATAGCTGTTCAGAGCCGCAGCACACCGGGACGTAGCAGGTTAAGGCATTTGGGAATGGAGGCAGTTGGCAGCAATGCGAGGAGGTGTCCATGCTCTCGGTTCGCACAGTAGCGCGCGCAGACGTCTCAACGCACCGCAATTGAACCAAGATGCCAGCCAGATGCCGCCCCAAACTAGTGCCCCACTAATAACTGTGACACATGCGATCTTCCCAGGGCTCACCTGCCTGTCGGAGAGTGGAGGAAGCGGCGTGACGCAGCCGCTGGTGCCCCCCTTTCTTTTGTCGTTCGTGCCTTTTGTGTGAGGTGGTGTTGGCCTTTGAGCATTTGAACGGTTGTGGAGTCGTGGAGGGATGTGGAGGATACAGGGACGGATGAATAATCTTGGGTATGGGCCCTGGATCAGTCTCGATTCTGCACATGTCCCCATGATCCCCAGTTTGCGGCAGGATGCTGCAATTCGGACACACCCGCTACAAAAACCAGGCTTCTTAAGTGACAACAGAAAAACACTTCTGAGTTTTTTAAGGCCCCCACCGCCCCCCGCCCTGTTGCAACGCAGCGTGGAGCGCTTCTCCTCCACCGTGGCCTGGAAAAACTCCGGAGTGCCACCCTCAGCCGCTACAGGAGGCCAAAGAATTCTCAAATGTCTTCTGTCTTTGAAGGGTGTGGCTTCGGTGTGCTTGGATTCCTCATTACTTTCTAATGGGTAGGAATGTGTTGCGGGTGCAGGGCTGTGGGAGCGTAGTGTCAGTTTGTTTAGAGACATTTCGGACTTCGTTTGCGGGTTGAGGGCCCTCCGGGGCCCACTGCTATTTTCAAGGAGCCCCGCTTCCTGGCACTCTCCTAGTCCAATAATTTTCCAACATTGCCCTGCTAGCAGGTAGCAATGGCTCGGAGAGGTTGCGTAAGTGCGTGGAAGTGGGTGCGGGTGCTGTGCACTTCGCAGACCTCCGAATCAGAATCAGTGAAAGAATCTTGTGCCTGTTGCTAGCGGTTCGCAACCGATTATCACACGCAGCTTGCTTACATGCAACAGCGGAGATCGAAGCATTCCGATACTATTCGTAGCTCCCAGGCCACCGAGTGCGTGCGAGCGCGGCCGATGCCCAAGTCCAACGGCCACAGGACGTCTGCTTTCCCCGTGCTTTGAGACTTCGGAAGCTTCACGTTATGTCACGTTCAAGTTTCGGAGATCCGCGGATCGTGTCGAGGCCCATTTGCAGGTGGCCACCGCGGCCGTAGCCGCGCATGGTGCCGGGAGCTGAGGTCGCCCCAGGCCAAGGCTAGGAAGGCGAGGGAATGTAGAGCTGGAAGTAAGAGAGGCCTCATACCAGAGCCCTTCGTGACCTAGCCCTTAAAGCGCTTACAAGCCCCTTATAAGCCCCTAATCAGCCCCTTACAAGCCCGTTATAAGCCCCTAACAGCCCCTTCTAAGCCTCCTAACCCTGAAAGCCCTTATACGCCCCCTGATAAGCCCCTAGCCTAACCCGATATCAGCGCCTCGTTCTAAGCCCCTAAACCCTAAACTCTAAACCCTAAACCCTACACCCTAAACCCTAAACCCCAAGCCCCCTTTAAGAAGCCCCTTAGAAGGCCCTCCCCTCCGAGAGATTTTCTGTTGTGAGGTTTGCTCCCGCCTGGATCCCTTCAGCGACGGCTGCCTCTATGAGGCGCTCCTGGAGGCGAGAAGGGCTCAGCTTTATATCTTTTTTGTTTTAAGCAGAATAATAAGAATATTTGTAGTAATAACAATAATAGTAATACTAATCGTAGCAATACTATTAGCAATAACAATATTCACACTAATACAATTAGTCACATTGAGAATGTTCAAATGGGGGGAGGGCGGGGGAACGTTGGGGTCGGTGCGGAAAGGGTTGGTTCAGGGCTTCTTTCGTAGAAGAACTCGGCTTTGCGTGGAGGTCGTAGAGTGAGCGCGGGATGTACTCAAGAGTATAGGCAGGAGGTTGCAGGATTCCAGGCCCTGATTCAGTGGCAGGTGGAGGGGGGAAAGCTCTGAGCATCGGAGATTCGACTGCTCTGAACGTTCCGTGGGAGCCTCGGGCAGCCGGTGCTTCCCAGATGTTTTCAATTCTGCCCGGGGATGCGAAAGCCTTCAAACAGGCAGGAGAGAGCAAGGGCAGAGCTCCCTGTGCTCTCCCTTCTTCCTTGCCGACCCTGCAAAGGGCCCTTGAATTCCTCAACCCAAGCAGTCTAGGTTTAGGAAGGCTCGTAAGCAAAGATGGGCGCAGTTGTACTTCCGTCCCCGGGCTGTGTCAGCGAGGGTTACATTCGGTTCACGAGCCGCAAGCCTGTGCGCTTCGACTTGTTCTGGTCAGTGTTCGGCCCCAAAAGTATCATCATCCCTTCGCAGTGGACCCGGTGGCAACATATGGCAACATGTAGCAGAACGTAGCAGCCATGATCGGAGCTTCAGAACGAAAGGGCCACGAACAATGGCCGAGATCCGCATGACATTCCGCAGCTGCACGCGAGTGGGCAGGTGGTTTAAGGCAAGGAGTGCGCCCCATCCCTCGCCACCCGCAGCCTCACTCAGCTTCCTTCATCTTTAATCCTCTCCAGGCACATACGATCACTGCTCTTTGTGACCTGAGCTTGTCAGCTTGTCGTGGTCTCTTTCTGTAATGCACCACCAAGCAGGACCAAAGGTAGGAGTGCTTCTGAATCTATGCACATCCAGAATATCCAGAACTAGCCTGTGCTTCCTCCGAGCCTGGGTGCCACCCGCCTGCTTGAGACTGGCCCGTGCCGGCAAAAAAGAGTCGCTCTGACCTTTCGAGGTTGCATACGGTTGCATGTTGTTCTGATCTTCTAATGTCTGTTGCTTCAGATCTGTGCTCTCCCCGCGTGTCCATAGAACCCTCACAGGGGGTGCACTCTGATTGCATGTTGTCAGGGAACACTTTCGAATTTTAGTTCATGAGATGTGCAACAAGGGATCGACAAATCTGCCCCTCCCGCGCAGTACGATCCTTCGGCCGACGAGCTGGTCAGGCACATCAAAACCGTGCATTTTTGCACATTCTGATGCTGTTGGTACGACACGGAGGCACAAGGATGACATGCAACCCAGGGTCATGTATCCACATTGTCCATCCATCGAGTCGCCGCTGCAGACAACAGAGGATGCCACCCCCTTGCCTGATCGCCTTGATGAGCATCTAAATGGAGTGACAGATTGCTTCCGCGTACAGGCGAATTGAAGCCCAAGAAGAGCAGGAGAAGATCTTGAAGGCCATGTTCTGCTATTTGAATCTGTCCACCAGTCTTTCTTCCCTGCTTCTCTCTCGCTATCTACCTATCCACGTGTCAGGTACGTGTCCATCTATCTGTCCATCTATCTTTGCGTCGCCCGTCCTTCGTACTCCTGGACTTAGAGAATCTTTCCTGAGCCCAGCAACTAGAGAAACTAGAGCGTGCTAGTTAGTTGACGGCGCGGCCAGCCAGGATAAGTCCCGCATCATCTGCTGTACTTGCGCGGCTTGCAGCCATGATCATGCCATGTTGCAAGCTCGCAAGTTGCAATGTTCTCTGCCAAATTGAAGTCAGACCTTACCGGGAGATGTGCCAAGTTGGCCAAGCAGCCGAGAGTGATTTGATTGCAAGAGCCAACCGTGAGGTCTCGCCTGCGCCAAAGACCCCGCCAAAGGTGCGAGGGGCTTCTCTTTAACTGCGCGTAACTGCTCGCCCAGTCACGAAAGCTAGCTCCTTGGAGCTCGCGAGAGTTGTCGCTTACAAGTCTTCTCTCTAGTGTTCAGCTGGGTCAACAAGCGACCCCGACCCTTAAGTGGTATGAAAATCAAAGAGATAAACGCCTGCGGGGGGGGGGCCCCCCTCCCCCCCCCCTTATAGGATTGACAGAATCAACCTTAACCCCCCCCCCCCTTCAGGGTCGCCTTAATTGATTTCTGGGGAGGGGGGGGGGGCCCCCCCCCTTTTGGCCCCCCCCCCACCCTTTTCAGGCCCCCCCCCCTCTTGGTCAGGCTCAGCCGCGTTTCTAGCTTTCGTAGCCCAGATCTCAAGTTTTGGGGAAGGGGCTGCTGTTCTGCTGCCTGCTTTACGCTGGCTGATATTACCAAGATAACAAGATAATCCATACTTTATCTAGCGATTTGTGATGTGCAGGTTCTTTAAATAACCTTTTGACCTGTTGACGGCAACAACTTTCGAGATTGTGCCGTATGACTGTTGCCTATTGATGCTGTTCGTCGAGTAGGGCACTTGGTCAAGGAACAGAGAGACGATGACGAGCCTGCCAATCCGCCGCGCAGAGCAAGCATCTAGAAGCTGATGACCGACACAGTGATACAGACCACACCACAGTCGACGCGCTCGTTTCGGGCCTTGCTCCGTCTCGTGATTTCTCACAGGAATGTAGCATGTTATGCACATACACATACGTACACGAGGGCTCCGACTCTGTACAGGCTCCGCCGAAGCCACCCCCGAAGGAGGCCAGCAGGGAGAAGAGGAGACCTGTTCTTTATTGAAGCCTTCTTCCGTTGACACAAGCTTGGCAGCTTGCTTTCTGCCCGGGATGGCTCGTCTGATCCATGGACTCACTCAGCTCCGCAGCCTTCCTGCAGGTGTCATCAGATGCGCAGCAGGGCGCCACAAGGAGCTGACGGCAAAAAACCCCACACGGTTTCACTAACGCCTAAGTCGAAGCGCACGGAGCCATCCGAGAGGGGAACAGAGGAATTGAGACTCGGACCCTGCGGTGCTGGCGTGAACGATGCCAAATCCTAAGCAGCAACTAACTATTTGCTTAAGAACCCCCTCCCCCAAAGAAAAGGAAGAAGTCTTCCTTATAAAGGGAACATAGGGATGAATATCTTTTTTTACATATTTTTGTGGGGTTTCTTGAGCTAGTAGTGGATTCTGGGTGCCATCAACATAGTCCCTTCAAGAACTCTCAAAAGTGCAGAGCAGGAGCCTCCGGAAGGCTATCGAGGCTGGGAGATCTTCACAGGGCTTTCGAGGTGTTTAGGGTTCAGGGTTTAGGGTTTAGGGTTTAGGGGTCTAGTCTGCCATTGTTAGGAGGGTTTAGGGTTTCCAAGGGTGTGGTTAAAGGACCCTTAGGTTCTTGGGTTGAGGGTTTACAGGCATGGCTCGGGTTCCGGACATTCGGTTTCTTTACACGTGCGCCTTCAGTAGTGCCATGAGGCTTCACTTGGAGTCACGAATTAGATTTATCAGGGTTTAAAGGGTGTTCAGGGTTTAAGGCTAAGGGTGTTGTGGCAGGTCAGGGTCTTGAAGCAAATCCATCTCCGATGGTTTTGGCCTAATGGCAGGTCGTTATGTCCGAGGATTTGACCAGTGGATCTCAGAACTTTGACAATACAAGTAGCTGGCTGGTCCGGGCAGCGCGAACATGATTGACAGAGTGTCCACGGTGCGACTAAGCTGTGTTGGAAAGGCTGTCGGCTATCGCGTGGCCCTGTTTGATCTTGCGCTTGGTGACTTGGGGGAACCACGGGTGAACTTTGCCAACCTGGTCCGGTCTTGCAAGCTCCGTAGCTTGCACCCTCATCTGGCAGGCCTCAGTTGCCCACGTGAAGGCAAAGGAGGGTATCGACACGAGCTGTGTGTCCGTCCAGAGAGGGAGTTGTTGGGAATTCTCGGTTGCCGGGGTGGAGATCAAATCTCATGGGTAAACCGGCTTGGTACAAAGGGAATGGATGGAAACGGGGGGGAGTACTTGGATTCTGAGGGGGGCTTCGAATGTTCGTTATCAAAAACTTGATGCATGCTATTATCTGCGGATATGTGTGCACCGCGTTCGTTATCCGCCTGTCGAGTCGTTGGTTCAACATTCCAAGAACCATTGTTTCATGATCCCTTTAGCTACATCATCGTCTCAAATCTAGCTGCGCCTGCCATTATTGTTTGTTGCTGAGACCGTAGATGTAAATGTCGCGAACCATGGCAATGTCAAGCTGTTAACCTCTTAAGCTGCAACATGGTTGAATGCTAGCAAAAAGATCCGTAACTAGATCAACATGGTTAGTTGCGGCTTTTTTTTTCTCATGTTGCTTATGGCCATTATTGTGGTTGTTTGTGTAATTGTGTTTGTGAATTTTGCTGTTCCTGTTAGTCTAGTATTCTCCGTAGACTTCATATCCTTTGCTTTTCAGTACATGGTGTCTTCTTGCAACTCTTTCATTCTGACTATCATTCATTCGTGTTATCCCTTTCTTATGCCTCGCTCTTTATTGTCGATGTTCGGATAGCGTTCCCGTGAGTGGGCAATACGCCTCTGCAGGCTCACGAGGAGGCCAAAAAGAGAAAGCCTGGGTCGGTCGGGGCGGTCGTCACGCCCCCAGGAAAGCATTCAGGGCTTCCGGGGCTTTGTTGATGGAAGGTGTTTAGGGGTTCAGAAGTTAAGGGCTGTTAAGGGGTGTTCAAGGGGCAAGGGGTTTTGGGGGCTCGGGCTTTAGATGGCTTTAGGACGCTGGGATTGTTCAGGGTTGGGCTCTCAGAGCTTTTTGCAGAGTTTGTTGACAAATGGTCTTGCCGTGAAATGATGGTGTGCAGGCTTGGTTGCTCATGTTGTGTGCTCAGAAACCTCAGAACCTTTGCTGCCATCCAGATAGGCGGAGGCTTTTGGTAGTGGAGTCTGAGGTCCTTTTGCTGCATACATGTGCATGGAACCTCCCAACCCACCGCGCTCCAGGTGCCACCGCCCCACAAGCTGAGGCCCACGGAAAAGGCCCGATGGAATATGGAGGGACTGTGCATGGGGACATTTTACGCTGCTTTCCAAGCCTTTCGGTGATGTCGGTATAACTTGTGCCATAGCCGGCTGACATATGGGAGACCATGTAGGTGTCAGGTTCTGATGCATGCATTGCAGCTAGTTCGATGATGTTGCACAGCCTTGCCCTAGATGTTGCGGTTGTTGGGCACGCTTTGCCCAGCATGGTCTCCATCATGCTCACGGTGTGGCGTAGTTCATGGCCCTGACAGGCGCGCCCTGCGACAACGCGGCCGGCAATGCCCCCGCAGGCAACGCCCCGGCCGGCAATGCCCCCACCGGCAACGCCCCCTCCGGCAGCGCTCCCACCGGCAGCGCGCGGCTCGACGCCGCCCCCGCCTCCAGGGCCACCACCGGCAGGAGCAAGCACGTCAAACACGCCCAAGACGCCGCCGAAGGCTTCACCAAAGGCTCCGCCGCTGCCACCAGGGCCCCCCCCAGCTTCTGTCGTCGTGCCAGCCCCGCGGCCCCAGCCAAAGCCACAACCGCCAGAGTCTCAGCACACCTTCACACCAAGAAATGTTGTTGGATTCTTGCAGCATCTTGTGGCCAGGCCGGCTAGGCGCTTGTCGTGTCGATCTCTGATGGACCCAAGGCCTGCGGTGCCGCCGCCCCCTCCTGGACAACCGCCACAGGCCTGTTTTACATGTCACTGTTGGTTAGAGCTTGCATTCGGGGATGTTTCGAAGACGAGCATCAGACTCTTGCCGCAGATTGTCATGAACGCCCGAACAGTTCTGTACCTGGTGCCAAGGGTTGCAGGAATTTTGCAAGCCCAGTCCCGAAACTTTGCTCCCTGGTCTCAGGTGGTGCCGAAGATGGAGCTGAGACCGCGAGGACCGTGGCCACCCAAGCCGCAGCCGCTGCCGCCCGGGGCGCAGGGGCCGCAGGCGCGGCCACCCAAGCCGCAGCCGCTGCCGCCCAAGCCGCAGGCGGTGCCGCCCAAGCCGCAGGCGGTGCCACCCAAGCCGCAGCCGCTGCCCCGCCCGCCCAAGGGGCCGCCACCCAGCACGCCCAGCACGCCCAACACGGCGACGCAGCCGGCAAATCCGCCACCGAACATCCCCAAGGCAGGCTCGGCGCCCTCGGCGCCCTCGGCACCCTCGGTGCCCTCGGCGCCCTCGGCGCCCTCGGCGCCCTCGGCGCCCTCGGCGCCCTCGATTCCGGCTGCAAAGGCGGCAACCACCTCGCCCAGCAAGGCCATGCCCAAAGCCAAAGCCAAGGGTCACGGTCTCGGAACACTTGCGTAAGGCCCTGGGGTGGCGCATGCAGTCTTGCGTGTTATGGTCGAGAAGACATGTGTAAATCAAGTTTGAGAGTAGCGACGTTGCGAAGCCCGCAGCAGTGTCCAAAGCATTGTCATTTTCCACATGGCCCTCATGATGACTTGCTGCTAGCGTTCCAAAGGCCAGACTCAATGTGAAGCGACTCACTTGTCACAGAAACCCACAGAAACATATGGGCCGTGCCCATCCTTCGCCCATCATTCGAGGCCCAGAGAGCCGAGCCAGAAGTCGCAGCCGCAGCAGAGAGAGGCTCGGATTCGGGAACAGGACTTTGTGTGCCCCCGCTTAACACCTCAACATCTCTCGAAAGTCTGGATGGACGTTGGGTTAAGGGCCTTCGAAGTTCTTTTTCTTGGAAGTTCCTGCCCGTGGGACTCATTGAGCTGAGCATGCAGCATGCCCTTGCATGTTGTGCCCCTCGTGTTCAGGGGCTCAGAGGCGATTTCAGGTTTTCGGACTCAAGTTGGAGGGGGGGCCTCCGCTTCATTCGCCAGGCCAGCGCAAGACAAGAAGGCCTGAAGCTGGAAGAGAAAAATGTTGACGGGCCGCTGCAGACGGGTTGTGGTTGAGGAGTAGGTCTGGTGGTGGAATGTGGCTTGCGTTAGGGGATCGAGTTGGGGTTTGAGGGTAGGGTCCCACGCCAGTCCTCAACCCTAAACTGTAGAAGACCATCAACATACCTCAGAGATGTTAATTACGTGGTGACTGTGTGCGTGAATGCCCGTCAGCCTTGCGTGGCCAGCATGGACAGATATGGGGCAGCCCGGGGAGGGTTTGTGGGGCTGGGAACCAGGATTGCGTCTCTACCCGCTTGCCACTTCACTTCCACACAATCCCTTACGGGCGTGGGAAGGCCGCTGATTGAAGATGCGACCGAAACCGCAAACGCTTCTTGTGTTGGGGCCACTTCCCGAACTACTCAATTAAGTGAGGTTCAAAGGTTTTCGCTTGTCAGGCCTTCGATGAAGTTCCGTTTTTGTGAACCCCCCAGATAGGTGTGCAGTTTGAACTTGAAGGTGGCGCAGAGCGAGATCGATGCCTGGCTGGCCACGTTGGACCCTGACCAAGTCATGGTCAAGTGCGCCGGAGTCAGAGAGCTGGAAAGCCAGAGATGAACTTGCTGTCCAGGGCTCGAATCGGCCAAGGGCACCAGGCCTCATGCGCAAAGTTTCAAAGGCCCAAATCGTGAAGGACCCGAGTGTGCACGTCACAACCGATGGAAGATCTCGAATCGGCTAACCTCAGTTGCATGGGTTGATATCGACCCGAACCGCTGGAGGTACGCGCCGGCCCTGCGCCGCGAGTTCAACTCCAAGAACGAGGTGGAGCTCTGCCGATGTAGCCCAGGGTTTGATGCAGAAAATGACACCATGGCTCCACACGAGCTTCATACTGATACTTTTTGTTGCTTTTTTTGTGTGAAGCCTAGCTTGGTTGAGCCGCAGGGTATTTAGCCGGGCGGTAAGCAATCCAAATTGCAGAGAACGCACGAAGAGGAGCCTTGAATCTGAGCCCCAGAATCGACACCCCCCAAAAGTCCCTAAAGCTGCAGGCGTCTAAAGCCCCTGACACATGTAGTTGCCACTTCATCTTGAAAGTATTTGTAAACCTTCTGAATCTGCGGCCGCAGTTGCTCGCCGCGATCATAGACCCGACGGCCAGTGGGCTGGCGCTGGTGGAGCCCTCCATATGGGAGGCTGGACATGGACACTTCATGAGAAGCTGGGGGTTTAGGACCTTCGGATGGTTGAAAGGTTTGTCCTGGGCTTTTCCTGGCAGCTGGTAGAGCGAATTTTTGAGAGGGAGCAGGAGTCAAGCACCGCGCTTTTGCCGACGATATTGGCCGCGCGCGTAGGGCATGACTGCGGGAAGCGAGGACCTGCAATCACTGTAGCGCTTGCCCATCGTCGGTTGTTTGCACCGACAGTTTGCACATGCAAGGATGTTTGTTTATTGTTAGCAGTGTGATGGATTTCTGGCGATCGTCTTATGTCAAGGGCTTCGGCTCACGAGCTCACAAGGCGCTCTCGTTAACTTGTAAATGGCGCTACACCCTGATTCCGAAAACCTAAGTGGCCTGAACCCCGTGGCTGGTGTGTTTTGTCTCGAGCTTGGCCGTGCAGACCCTCGGAATCAAGACCCTCGGGCACAAGCTCTTCTTTGCCAAGGGTCTCAAGGGGCTCTTGCCACTTTGCCGCATGATCTGCCCCGGTATGGTTTTTTTAGAGGTGGCCCAAGCTGGGCTCTTCAAAGCTTTGTGGAGACTCGTTGGAAAAGGGATCGCTGCTTCCATTCGGGGACCCTACAACCCCAGCAACAGAAGCAGCTCCACGTGAATCATGAAGCTTCGTTGCAACTGCTCAGGACAGCGTGAGTGAGCGCCGCGCCAACGCTGACACAAGCTGTGGTGCGGGCAGTTGGTAGGATATGGTGCACGGGGCTCATTCTGAATGTCAGGTCATTTCTTGGGTTCCATTCATAATGCACCACATTTTGAAAGACGCCAGCGTGGTGTAGGTTGCAATGCCAGAGTGGATGGACTGCTGCTTGTGTCAGGCGTTTGTAGATTGGAGCTCACTGTTGGCAGAAAGTTTCCCCGGCCTACTCGAGACAGGAGGCGCTTCCTGCAAGAGGTTCGGACGTCTGCTGCAATACTGCTGCAATAGTCCTCCTACGCTGTGAGACACCACGAGACAATGAACCTCAGCCAAAGTAGCGTGGACGCTTCGCAGGAAGGCAATGCTATTTCTAGGTAGGTTTCTTGCTAGCGATTGAGAGAGTGTAGGACTCTACTGCTTGCTAGCTGTTGAGAAAGTGTCGCGCGAGATGTGATTCGCAACATCATCCAGCAAAGTGTCCGCCGCCGAACAAGAAGGTCGGCAGAACCGATGCAAGTGTGGCTTGCGAGGGACTTGCCGTCCGTGGCACGTCGCAGCGCTTTGAAAAGAGCTCTGACAGCTGATCATTCCTTCGGGGCTTCTCACGCTGCATGTGGGCGGGCAAGTCACGCCACATGCAATGAATGGCGGCCACGAGGTTCAGTTGCTCTCCGGAATTGCTCTCCGGAAGGGGTCGCAACTTCCAATGCTCTTCGGTGCAGATTGGAATCGGCAATTCGGCGAATCTTCAGCTCCTTGGGAATCCAACTCGTTGCCCTAAGCATCAAACCATGTAAAATCGGGCCCCCAAGTTGCTACAGCACCGGTACAGCGCCGTAGCAATCTTGGAAAATCACAGAAACACAGCCACACAATAGGAAAGCAGCAAGACGAGTTAGAGCCAAGCCCCTGACTGTGCATGGCGGACGAGGCCGGGCTGCAAGCACGCCCTTCACAGGTGTCCGCGAGTTTCCTCTTTGAGTGTTGTGCAGATCGCCAGTTTGTCGCATGTTCGGCCAAGCAAGGGCAAACCCTCATCCGCAAACCCTAGGCCCTCAGGCCCTAGACACTCTTCTGATCCCCGTGAGGAAGTGAGAGCCAAGCCGGCATGGTTGGATCCGTCCCGCTCGCAGCCTCAGCTGGATTCCAGAGATTGGCGAAGACAGCATGCCCAGCTTGCTGTTCTAAGTTTGGGTACATGAGTCGATTTTTGCAGGGAACCCTGCCACGAAAGGTATCTGCAAGGGTACCGGGATGCAGAACAAACTCCATAAGAGACGCAGATCCTAGATGATCCTTAGCACCCGAGAGCCGTGGTGCGGTGCTCACGTCGCCATCTGCCCTACTTCTCAAACAGCGCCACGGGCTTCGAAGGAGTGCCAGCAACGTCCAAAAGTCGCTGGGAAAACAGCATCTGCCTTGGTAAGAATCGTCCCGATGCTGCTAAGATCTACACAACCAGCAGCAAGCTTTGCCGGATGCCCAGCCGTCCCCATGCAGCGCACATCTCTGGGCTGATTCATGCAAGTGTATCGTGGTACGATTTGCGGGCTTAGGAACAATCCAGGGCCCTGGTAAGGAGCACCCAGAGCCGAAAAGATCAAACCTAATCCGAGCCCTAAATCCAAGACACTGGCTCAGATGATGGTTTCTTTGTAGAAGCTGGCTTGCCTAGGCTGGTCCTGTTGCAGGCGGGCGCGATCTTCCGGATATTGGCTTGGCAACTTGGAGTTGATCCATAGTGGGATGATCGCCTCATATTGAATGATTGCCTGGATGTGGGGCATCTGGGGCCTTCACATCAGAGCCTTCGGCACCTCTGCGTCATGATGTTGCAGGCTTGCCTGGCAGTTCTGGCGGATGCCCAGATAGCGTGCTGGCTGACGGGACACGTGAGTGCTCGTGTTTGTTTTGCATTCATGCTTTTATGCAGCGCGCCATGGCACGAAGTGCACTTTGAACGATGCTGCTGTTTCCAGACTTGCTGGGTTGTTGTATGTTGCAATCGTGAATCTACGGAGGGGATCCCACTTAGCAGTACTTTTTAGGATCTGTTTAAGAGTGCAGATGCTGGTCTTACCAGCATACAAAACATGGCCTTTCCTTGTGGCGTCGGAAGGAGGGTCGCTTCTGGGAGCCCTACGGCACGGCGGCTTCATCCCACACGACGACGATGTGGACCCTGGATTCTCAAGGTGAAGGTTTCGGGAGTGTTTCGGGATTTCGCACTGCGTCCTTACAATTGTGTGCTAGTCTGGAAACACAAGATGCTGCTGCATCCACCCTACGCCTTTGAACCGGTAAAACATGATGAAGCTGCAGAGCACCTCTGAGAACTCAAGTGTGACGAGCTGCAAGTTTGCGCTTGAGGGTCGTTGTGTGCTAGACGAGATCGCCACGCATGGCCGTGACGCGACAGCGGCGAGCACCGTGGCGTCACCTTAATGTGTGCGCAACAATGGCGGAACCGAGAGTCCTGCTTAATGTTAACGCTACGCGACCTGCCTTCGGCCGAGCGTCGGCTTTGCACTTCCTGAGCTTCCATCCCACAAGCCAAGGGCGTGCAGCGGACTCTGGGATTGTAATTAACCTGTACGTCACCACTGCACCGCATGCAGGTGTCTCTTTTCACTCTGGCAGCCCTGGTGCCTGCATCGCCAGAAAACAGGGGGGTGGCAGGGGGGGTGGCAGGGTGAGTGCGGGGAGGTGTGGGAAGGTGGGACGGAGGGGTGCGCACTGTCCGCTCCCACAAATTGGCGCATGGCATCAAGAAGGTCCCTGCACAACGCTCCCCAAACTCCTGCAGCCCGAGGCCTGCGTGGATACACTGCTTCCACCCTACAAAAGCCTTGAACCAGACTCATTGAAGCAGAGCACCTCTGAGAACTCAAGTGTGACGAGCTGCAAGTTTGCGCTTGAGGGTCGTTGTGTGCTAGACGAGATCGCCACGCATGGCCGTGGCGCGACAGCGGCGAGAACCGTGGCGTCACCTTAATGTGTGCGCAACAATGGCGGAACCGAGAGTCCTGCCTGATGCATATCTGAGATGTGTGACACGCTGCACCTCTGAGAACTCATGTGTGACACGCTGCGAGTTTGCACTTGAGGGTCGTTGTGTGCCAGATTAGCTTCTCTGCCATACATGGCCGTGATGCAGCAGCTGCCACCTCCTGGGCGTCACCTTATTGTATGCTCAGCAGCGAATCGCCTCCTCCATGGGGTCTGGTTGACTTGCGCATGTTGCATGCTGCTTCAGACAGCCGTGCGGTTTTGCACGCGCTGTATGCGCAGCACGAATAGTCTGCTGACAGGAAACCACCTATGAGCAGGCTGCACCTCTGAGAACTCAAGTGCGGTGCATCTGTCTGTACTTGAGGGTTGTTGCGTGCGAAGCCGGCTGCTTTGCCATGCGTGGCCACTTGGCACCTCCGGCGAAAAAATGCGTGTCACCGTAGAGTGCGTGCGCATCCACGAAGCAATCAACGGAAGAAGCCTTACGCCAAGATAGATTCACAATCAACGCCCTCGTGATGTGAGGACCTGGAGGTCTTGGCTACAGACCTTGCAAAGATGAAAGTGCGTGCCTGAATCATCAGCCAGTGACAGCGTTGTCGCATGAACTCACTCAAGAGGAGCAAGACCCAACCTAGGCCGCCTTCGGAGGCACGCCATCGTTGGTATTCCGCCTTGGCGGACGCAGCGGCGCTCAGAAATGAACGGGGTAAATGTGAGAGATTGGCCCCCCTCAATGAGCTTGTTTACGGCAACTCTTTATGGACAGTGCCGCGCTGACAAGTTTACCTATCAATTCGTTTCCATGGCCTGACACTTCAGTCGCATCTTGTAAGAAGTGTCCTTCGGGGAGATCCACGTCATTCACCAGGGGGGGGGGGTGATTGTGATTATCGTCGACGTCGCGAAGAAGTTGTGCTTTCAATATTGTGCATTCTTACATGCCTCCTTACACTGTATTTCTTACTGCGGAACTCGTGTGGGTCGCCCATACGAAAGGACGGGTCCCGATGAGGCCTCTGAACATTAGCCTTTGGCCCGATGCACAAGACAGCTGTGCATGTACGTTGCTTCTCACTCGTTGGCACATCCTGTATCCTGTCTGCGACAACTCACCCCCAGTCTTGCGAGCGCTGAGGCTGGAATGCGACGGCTGTCGCCCATGTCGGGCTGAGGTGCTATGATGTGCTGGGTGGAGGGGCTAGCGCCAGAGCTTCATGGCATTGCTCGTGAACAGCCGTACTGATGCATGACTTCATCAGGCACAGGCATGTGCGACATGTCTGCCGAACCCGTGACAGCTGTTGTCTGGTGTCCACTTCCGACCACACTCACTTTACCCTCGTCTGACTCAGTAGCACCAGCCTCGTGTCCCTCTCTTTTGAGCGCCACGAGACGAAACTCCCTGCCGCCAGGTCCGACCCAGAGAAGGACTGCGAAGTGGAGCTCGACATCTTTCTGCGTGAGGACAGGGTGTACGCCAGTGTACGGATGTACAGGGATGTTTACGGCATGGAGTCATAAAAGGGTTGGAGCCCGGGCTTTAACTGGTGACCTGCGGAGGCAAGGCCCAAAGCGACAGGTGGTGTGGCACCTTCGGCCTTTGCGATCCCTGTAGTCCCGATGCTGAGCGCCCGCCGTTGGACAGCGGACGCTTGTTCCGGCCTGGGGATGTCCGCGACAGAAGCAGATCTGGCCTTTGATCAGAGCATCTGCCTGATGACCCTTTCGGTCTTACCGTCGATCTTCCTGTGCATGCTCCAGTTTATCTTCCACTCCTTCGGGGAGCTCTTGCACTTGCTGGGTTTCCTGGGAGTTTCTCTGCTGGCCTTCAAGCGCGGCATCGCGCCAGCATTCTTCCCGCGTGTGGATCATCCGCTGCACTGGTTGGACCGTATTCGGTGGATGATATGTTGCTTTTGCTACGCAGGTCTGGTTGTGATCTCCACCTCCTCGAATGGGCCGGTCTACGCCTATACCTGTCTGTGGCCCGTGATGCAGACAAGCCTTGCCAGCTTTAGCAGACTTGGCCTCGACGAGAGCTATCAGGGCATCGCCGGCGCCACGCTGGTCCAGCTGAAAGATGCCCGTTTGGACATGACGAGGGTCGGCGCGGCGGCTCATTGCAGCGACTGCAGTGCCAAGCAGTGTATGTTTAAAGACTGCAGGGGACCTGCCCATCTGCCGGATGTCGCTGGCTTCGTGAAGGACTGGGGCTTCGACCAAGTGGACACCCAGGGCTCCTTGCCGACCCTGGTGGGTGATGTGGGAGCGGAGGTCGACCAGTCAGGCGGTAGCTCTTGCTCCATAACTTGCGTGTACGCGGTTCCGATTGTGACTTCAAATGCATCTTCGACGCCCCTTGCCTGGGCCATCCAGTCGGGTAGGCCCCCCGAAGAGGACCAAAGTGTCCTGATGGGAGCGACTCGCTTCTCCTGGTGGGTCGGCACACGAGAGGCATACCAGATAGCTATGGATGAGGTGATTTCACACCAGCTGCCCAAGCGAGTCAGGCATTGCACCGGGCAGGATCCCATCCTTGGATCAGGGCGGTGGACTGAGAAGTGTAGCGCTCGCGGCTTCGTAAATTGCCACGGCGCCTTGCTGGCAGGAAGGTGCTGCTGTCCCGTAGGCTTCCGGATCCATGGCGGTGTCTGCCAAGCTTGTGGCGGCATTGCCACCCACGTCAGCTCTTTACACCACCTGCCCCTCCTCTACATTTTGCACGCTGACTCTGGCAAGCTTGCGTTCAGGCTGATGGCGGCCTTGTCCCTGATCTTGCTTCCGCTGCCCTGGGCTGGGCTTGCGCGGCTGCTGTGGCACGTGGCTTGCACCAGGGACTGCGCGTCCCTGCACCGCTACAGGATCCACCACGAGCGGCATATCGTTGCCATGGCCTGGCGCAAGCGGGGCAAGAATGACGAGAAGCAGGACGGTGCCGTGCGCGTGCAGGCCATTTCACGCATCAGTGCTGGAAGCCACCGGCTTCCCTTTCTGCTGTGAAATCCTTGGGCATGGCTTCGCTTTGAGGTTACCATACAGTGCCGAACATCAGCGAAGCTGCTAGGGAGTAGAAGAAATAGTAGAGCTAGTAGAAGTAGAAGTGTTAGTAGAAGCAGGAGTAGAAGTCATGTAGAGAGTAGAAGCAGAAGTACAAGTCATGTAAAGAGGAGCCAGAGGGCACGCAGCAACTCGAACAGAACTTCGCGTCCACCCGTTGAATACAACAGCGTCAGTCCATTGGCCTGAAGGTGAGCTCGCTGGCCGGCGAGACGAAGGTTCTTCTCATGGCGCCCAGGTCCTTGCTCCTTGACACGTGTTAGGAGCAATAGAAGAGACGCCTCTGCTGAAGCACCCCGTCACAAGGGGGCTGAAGACCTCTGCAAGCAGCAACCTAAACCATCCTGCCCTGTTAACCCCGTGTAGCGTTAAGGCTTGCTCACCTGCGCCAAGCCGTCGCCGACGCCTTCGACCTCGGCTTCGAGTCTGTTGGTCTAGTCCAAGGTGGGCTCCGATTGCTTGAGGGGCCCGATCAGGTTGCCTTCTTCTTTGATGCGCTTGTGGCTCGGCTTTCGGCTCAGAGCTTCTGCGCAGGTACCACACCCCTCGATCCGGAGAAGGACTTCCAGTCACTGTGGCTTGCCTTCTCATGCCACCTCATGCCATCCTGCCAATTTTTCAAAGCTCGCCGTGGAGTGGGCCGAAGCCCCCAACCTTCCCCCCAACCTCCCCTAGCTATATCCAAGCCCTAAGCCCTAAACCCCCCAAAGCCACCAAAAGCATTGAATCCCTATTCTCGTACTTTTCCACAAAGTTCCTTAGGCAGCACCTGGGGCTCACGGATGCGCTCAACGGCCCAAGCCTCACTCTGGTCGTCTGCGCCGGCGAGGGCACCAACCGCCGGGCGAAGCTTGCAGACTGGGCTCAAGTGAGGGCGGCTTGTGGCTTTTTGTTTCTTGGGGGTAGGTCAGGAGAAATTAAAGTGGGTTTCAGGGTATTTCGGGATGTTTTAGGGAAGGGCTAATTTGGCAGCAGAAACAAGCTGCCGCGACAAAGGGTTTGTAAGGGGCCGCGGGGCACCCCGCGACAGGGGGGGTTTCCGGCCACTGCCAGTTTAGAGGGATGCTTTAGAGGGTTTGTCCTTGGATCTCTCCACACCTCCTCACACTAGCAGGAGCCTCGTGTAGCAGCCTCGTGTTACGATATCCCCTCGACCTGTGCTGTAATCCATCATAGATGTGGCATTCTAGCATGTCGTCACATCAGATTCTTGACCATTTTCTCATGCTAGAGGCCGGCTCCTCTGAGACAGACGCCCTGTCCTTCTTCCGGCGTAGCCGCAATGTGTACAAGGCCCTAGATTGCAAGCACCAGCAGCTTGGCCACAATTGCTTCGATTTCGCGACGCAGTGGCTCAGTGGGGTTCACACGGCTGCGGCCGTTTCACTCCCAACTTATGGTGTGGAGTTTTGGTGATGTGCAGCTTGGACACAGGAGAGCCTCTACAGGTTATCGCATAGCTATTTCTGCCATTGAGCGAACTTTGCACCGTTTTTCTGTATAGGCTCACCATGCTCACCATAGTTTTTGTTTGTTTTCCAGCGCGGTGCTCTGTGTCTCAGGCTTCAGGCGGCCCCGGCCACGGTCGCCAACTTTGGGGACACGTACACCCAAGGAGCGCACAAAGATTTCCGATGTCTCCCGCGCCCTCTTCCCTGACTCACCCCTCCTCCCCCCCTCCCCCAGCCCCCCTGCTCTGCGCAGGATGGACCTGCCACGGCTGCGAGGCAGACACATTTCACTTGCTATTGATCATAGCCCTCTGCCCCCTAGATGTCGTGATTATTGTGCACGCTTGGCTCAGCACTATCCAGTCGATAATGTGAACAGGGTCAGGCACCTTGTTAAGGTGCTCTAGCACGGGCAGTTCTCCTTTGTGTCAGTGCCTGTAGCATCGTAGCCATGGCAGAAGCTTCGGAAACGACACCCAGAAAAATATACATACACACACACACACACATACTCAGACGATGCACGAGAGGCACACTTCCCTCCTGGCAGCCTCCTTCGCCGCTGCGATACCTGTGCGGTAGACTTCTGCCCAAGCTGCGCGGCTCACTGACGCCTTCGTAGAAGAGGTCTCAGGTGAAAGGGGGTCTTTTGCGGCGCTTGGTCAAAGAGGGCGAACCTTGCTGTCGAGGTGGCGCCGCAAAGGGTAACCCCCTCCCCTCCCCTTTCGGGACAGTTTCGTACAGTGCTGTTAATTCGTGCTGAGCATTGTGAATTGTGGCAAGGCGCTTTCACGTTTGCTTCTGCGCCTTCCACACACACATCCTCAGCTCAATACCGCGAGCACTTGTACGTGAAAAAGAAAAGACAGGCAGCAAGCCGCGCAAGTGGCGGCATGCTTGCAGGGGGCAGGGAACGCAGTTGTTGTGTGAAGTGGTTCGCTTTTGAAGTGTCTTCTTCTTCTGCTTCTTCTTCTGCTTCTTCTTCTCTTCCCACTTCGTTTGCCCTTGCATCGTGCGTTGGCCTAGTTGTTGCCTTTCGTGCCTTGAGTCTTGCTTTGGTCTTTGATAGCGACTTGTTTCTTCTGCGCCTGCTTCCTATTTTGCTTTAAAAATTGGTGGAGTTGTCCTTCGGCTTGTGCTGCCTGATGGCTGTTTTTTTTAGTTGCTCCTGTGGTGTGATTCTGATTCCGACAGTTTCCATTGATGTAGGCTCGCTGCTGCGAAGCTGAAGGTCAGCCCAGCCCAAGCCCAGCCAAGACCCGCGCCAAGGCCATGTCAAAGCATTCACCATGCACCAGTTTCGGGTGTAAAGCGCACTTGTGGTTTTCACAAGCGGCGTGGCTATCCCTTGCCACGCCTGGGTGGATGCTTATTGCAGGGCAGATCCGACTGATCCAGCGCGTGCTGTGATAGTAACGAGTGCAGCCCACAATGTCTTGGAGTCCTAGAGTACAGATGAGTACAGATCAGTACAGGGGCAGATGGTGACGGTGCCAGTTGCATCGAGGAGCCCCTGCAGGCCGAGAAGGATTTTCCATCAGCAGAGGAGCCGCGTCACACCAGCGAGCATGTGAGGCAGCGTTAGACCTTCAGGCTGTAGTCATCGACCTGCAGCTATCTAAACTGTAGTTTAAGAAGCCTCCTCTGCGAGGAGGTTTTTCCACTCTGCCTGGGGCCCCAGTGCAAAAGCGTGAAGGGTCTCAGCAGAAATCACCAGAGCCGTAGGAAGACCCTTGTAGTCGGCATGTGGCACTGGAACCGGCAAGAGCAATGTGCGTCCTCGAACTGACCTTTCTCCAGGTTCCGTCGATTTTCATGGCATCCAGGCATGGCAGAGTGCCTTCAAAGTATCTCATGCTTGCCAGGGAGGCAAAGATGCCTGAAACGTGTACAAAGATGATCCCTCAAATGCACTGAGAATCCTTGCAAAGCTCTGAGCACCCTGGAATCCTCTGACCCTAAATTCTGAACCCTGATCCCCATCATCCGTAGAATCCTTGTTTATACTTTTGGCACCACAGACCCTACATCCGCTACGTAGCGTCCTTGTCGCCACAAACCAGAAGGCCTGGCAATTGTTTGTGCCCTCTATAGACCACTTAGTCACGAAAGCTAGCTCTGTGGAGCTGGCGGGAGTTGTCGTTTACCCATGCACTGGTATTCACCTTGTTAAGAAGCTTCCAGGGAAAAAAAGGGTTCCACACCTTAACAGGTCCGAAACCCAAGACTTAAGGTGGGGGTTGGGGGGGGGGCCCCCCCCCCCCCCCCCTCACCTCACCATGAAGCATTTTCGAAGGATAAGGTGCCGGCGCCCCCCCCCCCCCCCTCCTTTAAGGTGGTTGCGTGTGGGATAAGGTAGGGGGGGGGGGCCCCCCACCCCACCCCAAGGTCCTCCCCCGCCCCCCACAGTCACCATGCTCTGAAGGTCTGTGGTACTTTGCAGAGGTCGTACTGAATGCCACCCCCCTGCGATGACTAGCTTTCGTAGCCCCTTCTCAAGTATTCAGTCCTTCTAACAAGACCTGTATGTACATGTATGAAATAGGGTTCGTAATACTGTTCTTGGTCAGTGTACGTAGGATACCGAAAAAATTTGAGGGTGCTAGTAATGAAACCGTGTGTGTATATATGTACATGTAAAAATGTACATAGGTATCTTTGTTAGTTTTTCTTATCTCTATGTTTTCTTGCGCCCTAATGTTAGCGCCCAGAATCTGCGCTAGGCCCCGGCCCCCGGGCGCCCGGAGCCCTTCCTGGAACGGCTCTACGGCGCTGAGCTGGCGAACGTTACGCCTCTCTCTCTCTCTCTCTGTCTCTCGCTCTCTCTCTCTCTCTCTTTCTATCTCCGGGTTTTTAGGGTGGTTCATAGGGTTTATAGGGTTTGTAGGGTTTTTAGGGTTTTTAGGGTTTCTTTATATATCTTTTTCTTTTGAGGTTCAACGTTCGCCTGCTGGGGTTCTGCGGCCGAGGGCCTCGGGTCGTGGATGCCCTTGGTGCTTTCCTGGCAGGGTTCGGCATCGCACAAGCACGGGAGGTACGGGAGGTGGGAGGACAAGAGATGGCAGTTGACAATGGAATGCACAACACGTGTGAGATGACCAACGCTCTCCCGCCGCGGAACCCATGGACCGGCAACCACCAGCCGACATGGAGATCCACACGAGCACAGTGAGATGGCACCACATCACCAAGTCGCGAGTCTTGTTCAGATTCATGTCCATGCTTGCATGACGGGTTCCGTTCATTTTGTCCGGGCGTTTCGCCGTCGAGCCTGTTGAGTCCTGGTTCGCAGACGTCAAACATGATGCATCCTCAGCGACTGAAGTAGTATCCTTGTGGCACGAGTGACATGACTCACGAAGCTACATGGAAAGGAAGCTTCACGGATGCCCACACTCGAAAAAAACCGTAGCGAAAGATGCGCCAGGTGGACTGGCAAAGCACGGTTCGCGTCTGGAGCTGGGCGCCAAGGAGTCAGCGGCAGTGTTAAGGGATTGATTGATTGGGACCTCTGTTGTACGGAGCCTTGCAGAGCCAAAACAAAAAGTAACCTGAGGCTAGATCTTTTCAGCTGTCGCTGCTTCGCAGCTTTGCTTGGCTCTCGATTTTGCTGGCAATGCTTCGCCACTGGTGCAGGAACTGTGGTAGCGATATAATTGCAAGCTAGAGGTTCAAGTTTTCCCGCAGCTGGGTTATTGTGGTGCTCAGGTCACGATTTCAATCCGCTTCACAGCCTCGCGCACAATCCGGAACGCCCGCCGGCCAGGTTTAAATCTTTTGAACTTTCTTACTTGTTTACATACTTTGCTTTAGTGCTTTACTTTACTTCACTTCCTTTATTACTTACTCACTTACTTCCCTACTCACTTGCTCACACACACACACCCACACTTCTACATGCCCGCGCGCGCACGCACACACACACACACACACACACACACACACACACACACACACACACACACACACCTGCACCTTCACCTGCACCTGCACCTGCACCTGCACTTACACTTACACTTGCCCTTACACTTACACATACGCACACAGAGACAGGCGTGACCATGTCACTGGATGCCTACAGCGAAATGGCAGGGGAACCCAGGCATTGGGGCAAGGCATCCTCCCAAGGTCTCTTAGTGCCTGGCTGAGTACAGGGTTCTGTGCCTACTGTCCCGAAATGCTCCAAGGTCACTGCGGCCGGCTACCGGGCACCTGTTACGCATGCGGACCCATGGGAGGCATTGAGACTCCTCGAAGGCCCGGCGGAGAGTCGAATGTGCTAGCAAATGCATGCTTGGAGACATTACCCACCAAGCTTCACACTTGTAACCTCAGGGCCTTGCTCATTCAAGCATCAGTTTTGAGCAAAAAGCACCCATATTGCACTTGTTGCACAAGGCGCGCTTACCGCCGGGGTATAGAGAGCATGAAGACATGCAGGCGCTGGGGTGCTCTCGGCGCTGCAGAAAAGCCGCGAGGAAACGTGGCTAGAGAAGGTGCAGAGGCCGGTTCCGAAGTCTGGGTCGCGCAAGTTCCGAAATCCTCAATATCTCTGGGCACCAAGATGGTCAAGACGTGCACCGCGTCATGAGGTGACCGTCGCGTAAAGACCTGTTAAAGGTGCCTGTGGCCTGATTCAACTTTGACAACTTCGAACACTGGAGTGATAGTGGAGTGCTTTACAAGGTAACCTGGAGTGCCTTACAATGTAACCCATTCTTGCCAAGCCTTTGTGACCAATCGGTAAATCCCAAACCCAAAGCACCGCGAGGGAAAACCGCAGCCCGGATTCCAGCCCTTGCCTCCTGTTGTGTGCCCGCGTGCTTTCGTCCGGGGCCCTCTCAAGTCATCATCATCATCATCATCATCATCATCATCATCATCATCATCATCATCATCATCATTATCATCACCGTCCTGATCGCCATCACCATCGCCGTCACCATCATCATCGACATACCGTCGTCGTCATGGACACTGCTTGCAGAAATTAAGGTACCCTTGGTGTCCTGTATTGACTTGTAGAGTTCTTGTGGCCTTTGAAGGCGCAACCGCGAGCAGGCTGAGGCAAGGATAGCGCTTCAGGCATCAGGAAAATGGGCTGTGCTGAGTTGCGCCGTCTTCGTGGGTTTAGGGTTTAGGGTCTAGGGTTCCCTTTCCCTGAAGGGGAGCACACTCCAGCGATCGGCGGGCAATGTTTCCAATGTTGCGCGCGGGGGCTTTGACGGTGGAAATTTGCCCGACTGGACCCTTGCTGTCGTCATCAAGGCATTACGCCGAAGCGTCATTCACAAAGTCAGCAGCTTCATACAGATGTCGCTCGCCATGTGTCTTCTTTGCCAGCATGAGAGGAGGCATTCCAAAGCGATAGCGTCCGAAGCAATCGTCAAACCGCAAGTTCCTGTGCAATTTTCTTCATAGCACCGGAGCACAGCTGTGCTGCCATGGCCGATCGGCGAGGCGGGGCTTTTATTGGGGCCACGGGTCCCAGGTCTCGCGATACTCGAGAGCGCGCTTCCGTTCGCGTGCTCTGACAAGTGGAGCTTCTGAGTTCTGCTTTCCTCCTGTCCTCTCCCCAACCTAAACAGCCCTGAATGTAGGTCCTACCCATGGACTACGACCCCGACGGCGCGGCGCTGTCGGCGCCGCGGTCCTCGCGGCTGCAGGTGCCGAGCACGGTGGGAGCGGTGGGGGGGGGGCGCAAGCAGCAACGCAGCAAAGCTGAGAACCTTGGATTGGCATATTTCTGCCGAAGCCATGAATCTTGCTTCCAAGGAAAGCATGCTTCGACACGCCAATCGGATACTCCACTGGCAAACCGTAGGGCCGTAGGGTGAATGAACACGAAGACCATCACAGGAGCTGCGACGGCAGTGGCGTGAGAGACAGCCGCTGGGCCTTGTCTGGGCCGATCGGGCAATCCTGGGTACTTCGGTGGTATTGCTTACCTCACCCAAAAATCTCTGCGGATACACACGGATGGGGCTTCGCTTCCATGTGGTCTTCTGGCAACAAGGTTAAAGCAGTACTTCCTCGCAGCAAGTGCGTACTGGTACATTCGCTTTCAGATCTGGGATCTGGGGCTCAGGTGTAGTTGCACAGTGGATTTTGCTTTTAAGCAGAGGTAAATCGTGTTCAGTGGGAAAGAATGCTTGCCCAGGCAGTATCGCGATGGACCAGGGACGTCGGGCCCTAAATCCTATTCTATAATCAATACATCCGGCATCGCTTCAGAAGTTCATGTGTCAGCTGCCGTCAATAGTTCAACGATTGGGCCGCAGGGTAGTCGTTGTATTTTTCAGCGCCGAGAAGGACTCCCTTTCAGCAATATGAGCCTTGGCCTAGCAGCTCTAAAGTAAATCTGAAGTTGAAATCAGTTGAGACTCATGAATAAGCGGCTTAGTCACGACCGAGCTGGCCCCATGCCAATGACATGGCAAAGTGCTGCGCGCATTCCAGGCCCAGCCCCTTGTTGCAGACGCCGACGAGGCTCCCGACGTCAGCGAACTCCGATTTTCATGTGAGGGTCTTCGTTGGGTTGTGCTGGGGTGGGTGTCCTTTGGAAGGCGCCTGGCAGACCTGCTGGCCGCTGCTGAGTCACCTGTGCAGGCCAGCTCTTGTAGAGCCTTGACTAGCAGCCGCTGCTGAATGCTGAACACCTCCCGTGGGGTTGAAGCTTTGCTTCGAGGACGTTTTGGCATGCCAACGCTTGAGTCCAAGCCTTCAAGTCGAGGGCTCGGGAGGGATTTTCCGATGGGCGCGAGCCTGCTTTGTTTGAAGGCGGCAAGAGCTGGAAGCTAAGCCGAGCATCGCCTCCCCCCAGCAAAGCCATCGAAGCTGCTGTGTGAGCATCCGCTTCCGCAGTCTCTGGACAGGAGCCTTGCTCGGACACGTTGGCAAAGACTTGGCAGGACAACCCGCATTCTATTATGGGCGTGTGGCTGCAGGTGATTTCGCTCCTTGCCGTGACCAAGTATAACGCAAGGCTATTTAATTACTCATTGGAATTTTCAAGAGTTGTTTTGTTTTCTGTTGTTCCCCGTGTCTTACTGTCCTTCATCGCCTTTGGCTTCTTGTTTTTCTTTATTTGCTTGCTTGGTTGTCTTGCCTTTCTCATGTGTTTTTTTCTCTTCTGTCTCTCTCCGTTGCTTGTCTCAGATGGCCGCCATGGCCTTTCGTTTCCTTTTGCTTCTTGCTTCTCTTCTCGCGGTTTTTTCGTGCCTTTGCTTTGGCCTGTCTCCAACAGCCTTTCATCGCAGTCGGCTTCTCGCCTTCGCTTTAACCTTTTCCGTGTGTTTTTTTGATTTTTTGCTATGTTCGCTTGGCAATCTTGGCACTTGTGCCTCTCATCGTCCTTAGCGGCTTGCTCGTCGCTTTTGCCTTTCCTTTTCATCATTTGTTGCTTGTCTTGCTGCTTTGGTTTGCTGCTTTTTGCCTTTTGCCTCTTGCTTTTCCTTGTTTTTTCTCTTGTTGGTGTTTAGCGTCTTGCCACCTTTCTTGGGGCCAGTATTTATTTTGGAGACGTTTTTTGACGTTTTGGTTTTTTTGGGCAGGTGGGGGTGTTTTTCCAAGGGAAAAGCTGGACAGAAAGAAGCGAGCATCAGCAAGAAGTGCAGGACAAAGCAAGAAGGGCAACGACAGGAAGTAAGAACGAATCGGATGTATTTTCAGTGACAGAACGAACGAAAGAAAGAACGAACGAAATAAACGCTCAAAGGATGACATCATGAAAGTAGTAAACAAAGACTTTCGGGACAGGACGAGAGATATTCGAACATTCTGTTGCCACATGGGTGGGTGGGGGGGGGGCGGGGGCCAGGCAGCTTCGCTGCTTCACCCAGTTACAACAGAAACCCAAGAAACCAGCCCCAAGCGCTCAAGCTCAAACCCGACGAGCCCCAAGCCATGAACGAAGTGACGAGCCACGAGGACCAACTTCCTGAGCCCGGGGAGGAGGCCTTCGTGGCTGCGCGGGCGGCTTTGCCTGGAGTTAAGAGGGGCGGGCACGATTGTGCCCTGAAACCCTTCAGACTTATGAACAGTCGTTGTGCACTCATGCCCTCAAAAAAAGGGGACCTCTAGGGGCTAGCTTGAGACTTAGGGGTTGTTGGGCCACAGATTTAAGATTGTGAACAGTTGTTGGGCTCCTTTTCAGTGTAGGGTCATGAGGGGCTGAGGGCTCCAGGTCTTAAGGTGCTTGCGGGTGTCGAATGTATGGACTCGGGGCTTCTAGTGACATCGGGCTTGGGATGTCGAGGCTTTGAAGTTCTCTCCGGCCAAAGCTGTAGAGGAAGTCCAGTAGTTTAGGGCTGTGGTTGAACCTGCATCTCAGGCTCCGCATAAGCATAAGTCGCCGGACATCGAATCCCAGGCGAGCGTGCGCCGGGATGAGTACCTGAAGCTGGAGTCCTGGCTCATGGCTGGAGGCTCCCCGGAACCGTTTGCGCCGGGAGCCCAGAGCCCCGAGCCCAGAGCCCAGAGCGGTGGCAGTCGGAATACCTTGTAAATGCCCTTAGAATCCCGATTCGGAGGCCTTGGTTCCGGGAGCTGCTCATGGACATGGACGACGAGGTGAGTCCGTCGCGTTTCAATGCAAAAGCTGGAGAGCCCGTATTTTTTTTTCGGATTTGTTTCTACTTTTATAACCTAGGGCGATGAGCATGTATTTGAGCTTAGGTGAGCTGAGACGCCTCTTCTTTCGAAGCTGAAATGGGCTCCTGAGAGGCCTTTGCCGCTGCTTGCCGCGCGGTCGCGTCGCACTACCGCCGGGCGGCGGAGCAGCGCGCGCTAGGTGCGGGTTTCCATGTGCATCCATCCATCTATCTGCATTCCCTGTTTCCCCGCCTTTGAAAACCCGACCTTATTTGGCGTCGACATCGCATACAAACTTTTCTTTTAGAGACATATATATATATACACATATACATATGTTTCTATATACGCAGAATTGACAAGCGTTTACAGCCCAACCGTGTCAGTCAGGCCAGGTGTCGGCATCACTTGGCTTGCTCCATGGTCCTGTAGAGCATGTTCCGTCGTTCAACTCCACGAACTTTACCGAGGCTGCCACGTTGCCAGGCAACTAATTGACCGACTCCTCTGACACTTGCTAGCTTCTCTTGCAAGTTCCTCAAGACTCAAGACCCTTCGCGATCACAGCACGTGTGGGCAAACGCTCCAAGCAACTTTTGACGTGCAAGGCCTTGACACAGCCGCAGCGCCGTGCAGGCCAAGCCACTCTCGTTTGATAAAGAATGAGATGGAGGATGTTGGGGTGGTTGCGGCGTTGGCAGTTTTGGTGAAGTCTCCACCAGCGACCGCCTTCTTTCGCTTTCCTCAACCTTCCCACCAACGGAACCACAGTTTTTTTTTTTACCTCGGGAGCACACAAAACAGGCACCCGAGCCAGCAGAATTGATTGGCGCTTGCTCCAGCGCCGCATCAGGCCCTGGCTCCCGGGCTTCCTGGAGAGACTCCGGACTTCTTCGCCCAAAAGCCTCAAGCAGGCCCCAGCTTTAGGGGATTTTGTTTGTTTTTTTGGATTTGGTTTAGTTGGGTTCAGGGTTTAGGCGTGGGGGTGCAGGGTTTAGCCGGTTTGGAATTTTTCTGGAGCAACAGCAGGCTGACAACAGGCTTGTTTAATGAGGGATCTGTCCTGTGGGGGCTTCTGGACTGCCCGGTTTCGGGGGTTTAGCGGCTTAGGGCTCAAAGCTTCAACTTTCTTGAAGGCATTTGAGGTTGTTTGGGGGTTTTGTGCCGAAGAGTTTTGGGGTGAACGTTTCAGAGTTTGAGGATTGTGCTTTCGTGGTTTCAGGATTTGTTGTGTTTTTTAGGGATTTTTTGGAGTTCGCGCAATTTTAGGGTTTTCAGGTTCGGGCATGGGAGGGACCTGCCGGTTTTCCGAAGGGTGCTCTTACTTTTTATGCTGCAACGCTTGTATCGAGGGGCGAGGAGGTGGGGAAATGTGGATCTGGTTTGGCATTTACTCTCTAGAAGTTTAAGGGTTGGTGAGGGTTGTTCAGGGTTGAAGGGCGTAGGCGTCTGGAGTCTAGAATCTGAGCTTAGAACCGCAGGGGCTTAAGGGATTCTACAAATTCTGGGTGGCTGGGGGACCCAAGAGAATCTGACGGGGTGGGAAAGAGGGCAAAACCGGGCGTTCCACAGGCCGTGGAGTTGGTGGCAGCGCTGCTGGCAGCTCCCAGGCATTCCAGGCAGGGCCTCCGCGAACTTTTTCCACAAGCTTTGGGTTGAAGCCTTCACCATCCTCGAACCGAATTTGCCCCGAAGTCTGCATGAAGCCACGAACCCTACAATCAACCGCCCCAGCGACCCGCTGCCCAAAGCCAGAGTCCAACTCTGAGCCAAGGCAGGTGTGTGACAGTGGTCATTATGGGTCGCTAGGAACTCACAGCACATCACAACACACCGAAACGCACAGAGAAGCCTGTCACTCGGAAGCTGTGCAGTGTGACGTCTGGCAGGACGGCAACCTCCTTGCAGCGCCACGAGGCCCGGCGGCTTTAGGCAGAGCCTTCTTTGCTTTCCGTCAAAGGGGAGTTGGGTTGGAGTTGAGGCTGCGTAGCATGATCAGGTATGGGGCCTTCCTTGCGCTTCGTCCTACCCAATATTGCCTTGCAGAATCTGCCTCAGCTAGAAGCTATCGCTCACAGAGCGCCGGTGGCTTGCATATCTACCTCCTGACCCAGAGAAGAACCTGCATCCTAAACCCTACACCCTGCTTTCCAGACCCAACCATCAACAGCACTTAACTTAAGCCTCGGTGTTTGATGCTCGGCCCGTCGCCCAGTTCTTCGACGAGCTCTGTTCCCTTCCGCCGTCTGCAGGGGCCGAGAGCCTCCTCCGAGGCTGCGAGGCCATGTAGGGCCAAGTTGGGATAAGGTTTCGTGAGAAAATGGGGGGGGGGGGGGGGGGGGGGGGTTGAAGGCTGAGGCTACCATATCTGAAGAGCTTGGGGTGGAGGTTCTTGTTGGCGGGTGGGGGGGGGGGGTCGAGGCCTATAGCCTTTGCGCATCATTGGTCTCCGGTCGAACGCAATGTCTGATTCGGCCGACCACCACCACCATCATTATTCGTGGCGGTGGGATGCTACACTCGGTTGGTGACCCACCAGGTCCAACTTGGACAAGCACTTCAACCTCGAGGCAAGCTCGAGCACTTCCGGCCTCCCGAAGAACGACAAGCACTTACACCACCGCCACGGCCGCCACCATGCCGAATTGCCACCAGACCGTCACCCCGCCAACCCAACAACCCGCCACCCAGCATCATCAGCATCATCATCATCATCATCATCATCATCATCATCATAATCATCATCATCATCACCACCATCGCCATCGCCATCATCATCATCATCATCATCATCATCATCATCAATCATTCTATGAGTATTGTTATTTTGAATTGATATTGTTACTGTTATTGTTCCTACTATTATGATTGTATTGGTATTCCTCATGATGAAATCCTAACAAAGCTAAACAGGCTAAGCTTCGATGTCATGTCGCCACGAGGCGCATGGCGCCCTCCAAAAGGAGGACCTCGACGAGCTGCGACGCATAGCGACATGGCTGCAGTTTCGGGTTCATCATCGAAGCTTGTGAGGTCCAGGTGGAGCAAGTTTCGGGCTCCTTAGCTTCAGCACGCTGCGAGAGGCTGACTGCTTTCAAGCAGCCAGTGCTTGTGTTGCAGATTTCCCACGGTCGGGCTGATCTCTTGCTGCCTTTTGATAAGCAGATTCGCGTGTGGCAGAGCTAAGATCTGGTCGAATATCCTTTTAAGCTGCTGCTACAAGGCAGTTTTTTTTTTCAAACCTTTTGTTGGCGGAAGTGTGAGACAGCCGGAAGGAGTGTGGGAGCTTTCCGCTCAGATTCTGCGTGGGCATGTCGTAGAGCCTGGGTGCTCTTAAGATGTGCCAAGGTGGCACCCGCGCCTGCCCTGCCAGTGGGCAAGCAGGAGGCCGGAACCCCAACCGAACTCTGTTCGACCTGCCCCTTGATGCCGGGTTGTCCCGGGTCTCGAAAGTAGTGGCTTCATGCTGGAAACCTGAGGCCAAGAATCTAGGAAAGAAAGCCTCCATGTCCGGCAGGGCCGAAGAGTGCACCGGCATACTTCGTTAGCTTCTGCTCCACATCAGGGTCCGACTTCTGCCTCTGGGCCCTCTGGGCCCATTGCTCGGAAAGTGTAGGTCCCACATGGGCCTCACCTGGAGCAGAGCAGCTTCCTTGCCTCGCCGAGCCCTTAGAGACCTGCTCCTTGCAGCCCGACGTCGCGCAGCCTCTCACGAGGTTCCTCGCTTTATCGTCGCGCCTGACCACAAAAGTGCGAACCAGAGGGCTGCGTACGAGATTCTCCTAAAGCCTCGACTTTTCGCCCCAAGCGCCTCAAGCCTAGACCCCAAGGCCACCGGTGCTCAATAACAAGGGGCCTCCTCTCGCATCCTCTCGCCTCGAAGGCCCATGAGGCCTGTGGCACAGGGCCCCGAGGACGCGGATAGGATTTAATTGGCTTGTAAAGTGTTCAGGGCTTAGTTAGAGGTTTATGGAAAGGGTTGAGTGTGTAAGTGTGGGAGATACAGTGCCTATTCGCGGCTTGGATGCGCTGGGGCTCAGGATGCTTAAGCACTGCTGAAGACTGTCAAGGCCCCGACCCCAAAACCACCTCAACCCGCAAACTCAATTTCGCAAGCACCCTAGACTTCTACATCGTCCTGTCCCTCACTGTCCCTAAGCCCTAAACCCTGAACCCGGAACCCTAAACCCTCCTTCAACGCGCTCTATATCGGGAGGACCCGCTTCGGCTGCTTGGCACCGCCTCCCCAAAGTCCTGGCGTCAGCGCCTTGAGGCTCGAGCAGGACATGTATGGGGGCTCTCGGGGGAGCAGAATTCAGATTCTTGTGGGTTTAAGTTTAGGGTTCAAGGGTTTAGGGTTTAGGGGTTTTTAGGGGTCTATTAGGGGTTGGGGATTTGGGGTTTAAGGTTGAGGGAGGCTTGAAGGGGGATTCTGTTTGGGGTATCTCCCCATACTTAGAGCCTTAGATCACTGGGCACTGGCATGCGTGGGACGCCAGATACTTGCAGTGTTGTTTCATTACGTTGCTGGGTTCTACACCGGCATCGTTTTGTGGGTCAGGTGATGTTGAAATTGATCTAATCTTGGGGCTGCTTGGGCTGTTTCCGAGCGTCTGACTCAACAGACACTCATCCCCCACATTCTGTCAAGGCTCTTGAGACGATCCAAGGCAGCTGGGCGTTTGCCATTGGGTGGTTTAGGGCCGTTTCGGGCCAGGATCAGAGTCTGCAGTAGACAGTGAGCTACTGGCAGCACTCGTATTTGCAGGGCGCCCCGGTGTATGTCACGCCTTTGTTTGAAACCATTATGACATAGCACTCCCATGTATGTCACGCCTTTTGTTTTTAAGTATTCAGTTACCACATGACATTGCCTCCCGTGTATGTCTTCACCTGGTCAACCTCCCGCGTGTGTCTCAGCCCTCGCTTATTGTCTCTCAGGTCCGCATGACATGACATAACATTTGACATGACATGGCTTCCCTTGAATGTCACGCCCTTTGTTCGCGTCTCAGGCCAACATGGCATGGCCTGCGATGATTCCCTGGAATCTGCCTAAATAACATGGCACTCGGCATGGAAGTCCCTTCGCATTGTGGATGTGCTTGTGCCCGAGTCTGACAGATGCGTTGGGGTTGCCCGTCCCTGTCGAGTGTCTGGCAGCCTGGCAATAAATGCCTTCGTGCATCTCGGCTCGAGCATTTTGCAATCCCCGCTCCGCGCACCTCAACACCTCGATCTACACCTTCGCTTGTAAAGACGCAATGGCTGTGATCGACGCTGTGCCATCTCTTGAAGAGCTGTCACTGGTTGATGTGTGCGGACAACAGTGCATGCCCGGGATCGAGACCAACTTGGCCGAGCTTCTCTTGACAGCTGCAGAAGCAACTCCGGACCGTGTCTGCCTGGAAGTCGAGGGCGAAAGCTACACCTTCGCGCAGGCCCTCCTTAGCCAAGTCATGCAGGAAATTAGAGAATACTTCTTGCCCGATGCCTTTTCGCGGAAGGCACCAGCATGATGCACGTATGGGCCTGTCCTCGGAAGGCTCTGACGTTAGCCGATGGGCTCCACATGCTTCCAGATGAATCTATGTGTAGATATAAATAAATAAATAAATATATATATATATATATATATATGTATGTTCATGTATGTATGTGTATGTAATGTAATGTAATGTAATGTAATGTAATGTAATGTAATGTAATGTAATGTAATGTAATGTAATGTAATGTAATGTAATGTAATGTAATGTATGGTATGTGTGTGTGTATGTATGTGTATGCATGTATGCATGTATGCATGTATGCATGTATGCATGTGCATGTCTGCATGTCTGCATGTCTGCATGTCTGCATGTCTGCATGTCTGCATGTATGCATGTATGCATGTATGCATGTATGCATGTATGCATGTATGCATGTATGCATGTATGCATGTATGCATGTATGCATGTATGCATGTATGTATGTATGTATGTATGTATGTATGTATGTATGTATGTATGTATGTATGTATGAGTGTATGTGTGTATGTGTGGTAGGTGTGTATGTGTGTGTAAATCTGTTTTGCTCTTGTCCGGCTCTTTCAGGTCGCTCGCATGGCGAACTCCATCCGTAAAGTTCTCCGCAAGGCTTTGGCTTCCTTGGACCTCCCCAGTGCGTCGGCAGGCGAGGAGCCGGAAGCCCACCAGCGCAGATCGGACGAGCATGTGGTGACCATCGTGCTTGAAAGAGGGGTGAAGAGCATCGCAGCCGTGCACGCTGTGATGCTGGAGGGGTGTGCGTACAACGCCTTCGACGTTGGAGAGCCAGTGGAGAAGCTTCGAAGCTGGGTGGAAGTCTCTCGCCCACCAGTGATGATTTCCACCGCCGCCGTCTTGAAGCGACTCGCTCTCACAGACGTTGCAGGGACTTTAGGCGACTTCCCTCGCGTTGTCATCGATGCTGACTTGGCCTTGAAGAAGGCGGACAGCCGGGGCAGGCTCCCAGCTGCCAAGCATGATCAAGATGATCTGGATAGGTTGGCTTACCTGATCTTCACAAGTGGGTCGACGGGAAAGCCGAAGGCTGTGATGATCCGACACAAGTCGGCCTTGAATGTGGTGCGCATCTGGGGGAAGTATGTAGGTCTTGGTCCTCATGATCGATTTGCTCAGGTTGCTTCCATGTCCTGGGATGTGCACATCATCGAAGTCTACGGCACCATGTCGGTGGGAGCCACGAGTGTCACTTGCCCGGATATGATCAAGAAGTCGGGCCCGGACATGCAAGTCTGGCTGAAGGACCGGGGGATCACCGGCATGAGCGTGGTGCCTTCGCACTTGCGCACCATGGCTGGCGGCGGAGCCGACGTCTCAAGAAGTTCCGCAGGGCTTCCGCACCTGAGAATCCTGGACGTCGGAGGGGAGGCGCTGGGAGCGGATGTCGTGTCCACTTGGGCCCCAGGCCGTCGCCTCTTCAACAGTTACGGGCCCTCGGAGATCTCGGTGGTTTGCACGGGCGCCTACGTGAAGCCTGACGAGATCATCACCATCGGCGCCGAGCTTCCCACCTACACTTGCCACATCCTGGACCCTGAGACGCTCGATCGGAAAGCGGATGGAGAGCGCGGCGTGCTCTTCGTGGGAGGCATTGGTCTGGCCCGGGGCTATCTCGAAGAGGAGGAGAAGACCAAGGCCAAGTTCGTGGAGTTGCCGGGCATCGGCCGTGTCTACAACACCGGAGACCTGGCTCTCCGCGACGAGTTTGGGCGGATCCACTACCACGGCCGAGTGGACTGGCAGGCGACGCATCTTCTGAAGGAAACCCCCGCTCCCCGCGGTGTGTGTGTGTGTGTGTGTGTGTGCGCGCGCGCAACAACGTTGCTCTCCGTTTACTTTACTTGGTTTACCTAGAACGGTCTTTTTGTTTTTCCAGGTGAAGGTGCGCGGCATTCGGATCGAGCTGGAAGCCTTGGAGCAAGCGATCGTGGAGTTGCCGGCAGTGAAGCACTGCGAGGCCTTTTGTAGCTGTAAGATGATAGTCTGGTGAGACGGTTGAAGTTAGTAAGGCTGTTGAAGTTGAGTCGTGGCGACCGGTTTGCAAGGCTCGTGTTCTGGACGGCCAGCGTTTGGTGCTGCTGGCTTCAGGAACTTCAGGGGATGTTTCGGAGGCGGAGCTGAAAGCGACCGCTGCGTCGCTGGGGCGGGGCTACGTTCTGAGCCAGGTGAAGATTGTAGAGAACGATGCCTGGAAGTTCAACGCCTCCGGAAAGCTCTTGCGAAATGTGGTTCCTCTGGATGAGGAGGCGAATGCGGAGGTAAAGAAAGATGGCTGGGAGGCTTTCGAGAAGACCGGGGTGTCAGATCTCGAGCTCGAAATCGCAGCGTGTTTGGCTCCACAGCTGAACGTTGCGGAGTGGAATCGGGACTCGCATTTCATGGAGGATCTCGGCGTCGACTCCGGAGGTTTCGGACGACTGATCTCTCAGATGAGGTCCAAGCCGAGGCTGCAGAAGATCGACCTGCAGATGCTGTTTGAACGCCCCACAGTTCGATCGTTGGCCGCTGCTCTTGCTGAGCAGTCGACCGACTCAGACTCTGAGGACGAAGTGAGCCTTGAATCGGACCTGCTGGATTCCTTCCTCGAGGCTGTGAAGGAGCACCCCCACGCCGTCTGCCTCGAGGGGAGCTATGAGTCATTGAGCTACATGCAGCTGCGTCGTCAGATGATGGCCTATCAGCGACTCCTGCATGAGGCCAAGCCGCCCAGGGGAAGCGTCGTGGCAATATGCCTGGAATCCATGACTAGGCTGGGTGCCATGTTGGGGGTTCTCCGTGAAGGGTGCGTCTTCAGTCTTCTCGGACCGGATTGTGCGGCGCAGATCGAAGTGCTGAAGCCGGATTTCGTTTTGGCCAACTCCAATGACAGCGACTGGGGTAAGCTGGCCGAGATTTGCGATGCTTCCTCTCAGAGGAGCCTTCTCGATGCGAGCGCAGTGGGTTCCCTGCTATCGCAGCTGCCCAAGGCCAGAAGGGCCATGAAAGGTGACGACGTGTGCTGCATTGCCCTGGAAGTGCGTGGACGCTTGCAGTGCGCAGTCCCTGCATCGCACCGCGCCGTGCTGCAAGCGCTCTCCGCTTGGCGCCCAGTCGTGGAAGGCGGGCGGATCTCCGCCATTACGGTGTCGGGAACTGCAGGCGACATCCTGAGCACTTGGAGCATCTTGGCTCGAGGAGCAACGCTGCTGGCCTATGATGCTGACCAAGTGCAGCAGATGCGGGCGGAGCTTCTGATCTGCGAGCATGACAGCGTTCCACGTCGTGGTGCGGGCCATGCGAGCCAGCGCAAGATCTTGCAGCTGCCAGTGGGCGGCGGGTTCACGGCAGTTCCCTCATTTCCCAAGTTTACTCCCGCGGGAACTGCAGAAAGCCTCCGTTCACAAGCTCTTCGATCTTCTCCTTGCTCTCTCTGGCTTCATCTTTAGCTCCCTACATCCTTGGACAAAACCAGGCGGAGGGAACGGAGGGCTTCGGCAATCGCAGCTGGCCCGTGCTGTGTGCTGCGGTGCAAGGCCTGGCCATTTTGGGGCAGCCAGTCCTGGTGGCGTCTCGCCTGCTTCTTGCGGAAAGAGTTCTGCTGCCTTTGTCGTTCATGCTGCCCATCTGGCAAACCGTCCTCTTGTTGATAGCTGTGCTGACGGTGGAGCAGTTCGTTCGGGTGTTCATCTTGGTGGTTGTGAAGTGGTCTCTGATCGGCCGCTACAAGGCAGGTGATCATGACATCTACAGCTTGTTCTATCTGCGTCATTGGCTGGTCGAGCACATGGCGAAGGGCACCATAGTCGGCCAAAATGCGCATCAGGGAAGCAACATCGCCTTCTTGTTTCTGCGCAACCTGGCTTTGAGGGCCCTTGGCGCAGATGTCCGATTGACCTCAGTGGTCACTGCTCGCGTGGTGGCGTATGACCTCGTTTCAGTCGGTGACTTGGCGACCGTCCACGGCCCGCGACACTTGACTGCCGTGAACTATGGCAGCAGGCGCATGGTCCTGAAGCCCGTGAAAGTTGGTGCAGGCGCCTATGTGGGCCCCAACTGCACTTTGGAGCCGGGATGTGAGATTGCAGCTGCGGGCTACGTCGAACCATTGTCAGCCGTCCCTTCTGGCATGCTGGTGGATGCCCGCGTGTGTGGCGTTCCTGCTCAAGTTGTTGGGCCCAAAGATCTCAGCAGGTTGCCGGACCCTGCAGAAGTCCGAAGCTTTCGAAGAGGCGCGGCCTTCTTTGCTACGGGCTACTGGATGTTGCTACTTCCCAAAGCGTTGATGCCGCTCCTGGGCGTCTTGGCGTTCCAGCTGCTCAGCTCGTATCCGTGGGATCAGCAAGAAGTTGTCACGGAAGAGTCCATGTATCCGGAGCATGCGGATGTGCTGCCCACAGAGCTGGTGGATCGGCTGAAATGGATTCCCCTCATTGCGTTCGGGGCTTCCATGCTGAACACGGTGCGGCACTCAGGCCATGCTGTTTTCTTGAGCTGGGGTTTGTTGACGTTTCTTGTCCCCTGTGTGGGCCCTTGCACCTCGCATGCAACTTGCTGGCGTGGCATCTCTTGCATCTGAGGTGCTCCAGCTGGGCGGAACGGCCGTCCTCTGCCGGGTTCTGCCCAAAGTGAAGCCGCCCTGCACCTATTCCTTGCTGAGCATCAGGGCGCAGATCGCCGCCTTGAAGATGTCCATGGTGCTGCAGGCGTCAGAGATGCTAGCAGATGCTTCCATTGTCCCTGCCTTCATCCGGATGTGTGGTGCCACCTTTGGACACGGATGTGCTATGGGCTTGCAGGCCGCGAGCCTAGACTGCCGCAGAAGCCCACAAGAAGGCCTGGCCCGCTCCCTTTGCGTCCCTGCCAGGTGACACTTCCGGAGACCCTGGTGGTGGGCAAAGGCTGCTTCTTCGCCACCGGCAACATCTTGACCAGCGTGGATGTGGACCAGGGGAAGTTCAACGTACCTTGTATCACCTACATGAGTCACCCGGCCGCAGACACCTTTTACCCCTTTCAAGTTTCGGGTTTGTGTGCGTCGCACGAAGTGGCCAAGATTTGGGGTTGATCCCTCAACCCCAAACCCGAAAACCCAGAGCGCCTGAACAACCCAAACAAAATCTGGCAGGTGACCTAGGAATCTTAATCTGAGTTTGTGACAACAGCCCGCTAGGAATATAGGCTTAAGGTCTAAGGCACCCTAAACTCGAAGACCTGTGGCTCCAAAATGCGCGAAACCCCAGAAGCCCCATAAATCCCAAAAACTCGAACCCTCCATGGAGAATTCTGGGTCTGCATCTGTCCGACAGCACGTCTCTCTCGCTGTCTTTCCCTCCTGTCCTGTAACATGTGGGGTGTAGAGGGTTTAGGGTATTTCGGGTTTAGGGTGTAGAAGGTTTAAGGTCACGAAAGCCAGCTCCTTCGGAGCTTGCGGGAGTTCTTGTTTACCAATTTGTTGTTGGGTCAAACAGGACTCAAGGGCCTTCATCTCCGATATATTGGAGGTTTAAGGTGCCGTGGGGGGGGGGCCCCCCCCCTCCCCGCGCCATACAAGGAATCTTCTCATGCTGCGGGACCCAATCAGTCCCCACCCCCCCCACCCACCCTACCCTTAGTCCCCCTTTGTTAACCAACATGTCTGGCGATTTTTGCTATCGTTGTTGCAGTGCAAGTGTCTCCTGCACGACTTGCGTTGTTTGATCTCCGAACTGCAGAACCGGTTGGCATGACAGCAAGCAAACGAAGGGTGTCCCAGACGAGCTTGCTTTGTGAGAAGTTAGAAGATGTTTTCTATGTATGAACTCTTTCGTACACATGAAGACTACACGCATGCATCGAACCAACTCTGTCAATATGAGCTTGCATTGCACGCAGCAAGACAGTGAAGAGTATCCTGTAGGAGCTTTCTGTGTGTGATCTCCAACATTTGACACTGTCTGCTGTGCCCTAGCTTTCGTTTGCCCTGCTCTCAAGTTGAGGGTTTCGGGTTTAGGGGTCTGGCGGGGCTCTCGTCTGGAGAAAGAAGCGGGCCTAAGGCGATCACACCTTCTTGGGAAACCACAACCACCTGCCGGAGGGTCTGCCGGAGGGCAGCTTCTGTGGAGTGGGCACTTGGCTGCCGAAGAGGCCGACTGAACCCAACATGAGCAGCTTGCCCTGAAATTGTGATTTCTCGCAGAGCGATGCTTCGACGGTACCTTTCTGCACCCCTTTCCAAGGCTACTTCGGCAACCCTGCCATGAAGTTCCGAAGGCTGAGCAATCATGCAGGCCTTGAAGCTGCTTCCGGAACTCTTCACACAGAACTCCTCAGCTCAGTGTAACAGAATGTAAGCAGCTGCGACAATTGTAGCCAATAGTAGCCGGTCTCCCGATTCCGGGATGTTGTGCACGTTGGGGGGACCGTTGGGAAATTTCGGGATGCCGTCTGGCAGGCAAAGTGAGCCGGGGCCCCGAAGCGGCGAGCTGCCTGGCGCGTTTCTGGCACCATTTCAGCACCAGCATCTTGGATGTCTTCCTGTACCGTGGCGTGCAGGGCGCTGTCACGGCTTGCGCCATGCTTACGAGCCGCCTCCTGTTCCCCATCATCACTGCAGCTTGGGAAGTTCTTGCCCTGCTTCTCGTGTACGTGGCCTTCGCATTGGTCTCCTGGTACCTTTTCTCGGTGGTGCTGGGCAACCTGCTCTTCAACGGATCCACCCCCCACAGCAACGCCTACTACTCCACCACGGTGACGCGTTGGTTCACTGCACTCACCGCCCAGCAGCGAGTCTTCAAGCTGCCATTCCAGACAGCCGGCACCCGCTGGCAAGCTCCTGTTCTGCGATTGCTTGGAGCACGCGTGGGAAAGCGGTTCTTCTGCATGAACGAGCTGGTGCTGGTGGACGCTCCCTTCACGGACATCGGTGATGATGTCACAGTGGACTATGATGGACAGGTGAGATGTCACTCTTTCGAGGACTTCCGCCTGAAGTTCACCCACTACTCGGTGGGGCATCGGGTGACCATCATGTCAGGTGCCAGTGTGGCAATGTGCCATGCCGGAGATGGCGCGGTGTTGCGTCCAGGGAGTCTCAGCTGGAAGGGCAGCAACCTGGAGCCTGGTGTTGTCTACGAGGGTGCGCCTGCATCCGCCCTGGATGACCTCGAGAGGGGGCCTCCCGCGCCCACGCTCTTGCAGGGCAAAGCGAATATGCCAGTGGTGAAGTGAAGTCAAGCCAGGAAAGGCGGAATCTTTCTCGTCTGCGGCATGCTACATGTTTTTGCGAGGTCGGTACTTGTAGAGAAACGATGCTCGGCCTTCAATTTTGTTGAGTCCGAAGGACTCTGCGCCATCGTGCAAAGCCGTGGCACATTGACCGTGATTCCATCGCAACCACAGATGTGGCAGGCGTGACACTTTTGCGAGACCAGCAACTTGTATAGTCACAGTGCTAGCCTCTGTTGAGTCAGAAGGGCTCAACACGGTGCGCGCATGCTCAGGTTCACCTTGGCACCACGGCGACCTGTGCAGTACAGCGGGTGTAGAGGCAACAAAGGCAACAGAAGAGGAACACCGCAAGCGGCAACACTGCCAATCCCTGCCTAACGGATGTTTTTGGTGGGTGGTAAGCTTGTGGCATCTGGGGATGGGCATATTTCCCCGACATCGACGGTCCGTTGTCCTTTTGGAAATGAAGCGATGGGTTTCATATTGTACGGGAGCTGTGCCGAAGGCTCGTTCATGGCCGGATAAAGTGAGTTTCCGTGCAGGGCCAGATGCAGACGGTGTCCACGGTCAGCTGCTGTGGCCGCAGCTGGTGCTTCAGGCCTGCCCGAATTTTTGGGAATCTCGGGCAGGAGATCGTGGGACCGGACCCAGTGGTGACAGAGGTATTCCACGGGGCAGAAGATTGAAAGGGTGGAGGCTTGAAATGAGAAAAACTGATTTCGACTTAGAGCAAACGACCTGTTTAAGTGCAGGGTGTTGAAGAGCAGCCGCAGTGACTTAGGCCTTGAAAAGCTAGCATTGGACCCCGTGCAGGTTCGTGTCCGTCCTCTCCAGAAATATGCTATACCACATAACCAGGTTCTTGGAGTTCCTGTTATTTTTTTTTGGGGGGGAAGGGGGGGTTCCTCTTTCTGGGGGACGAGTGGGGTTCCCCTTGCGTTCCCCTCTTTGAGGTTCCAGCTCAATCCCTCTTCCCGCCCTCCCTAGATTCTGCGAAGGCCGAGGATGACCATCCGGCCGTCGCTGCGGCGTCGCTGCGCTGTCTGGCGCGTCTGGCGCCGCTCCTGTCCGCCCCTGGCGCAGGGAGCCCCAGGGCACTGGGGCAATTGGGGCAAATGGACAGAGTTCATGTGGTGGGTTTGATTCTCTCGCTTGGGGTACAGTGTTGTTGGGGTTTGGATATTTGTTGTAATTAAGGGTTCTTTTGGGGGAAGGGGGATTCTACTGGAAATGGGGACTAGCTCAAGCTGCTCCCAGGCCGTGTCAGGACTCAAAGGTAGTGGTCAGTCCGCCACTGATAGCTTGAAGGCTTCGTGGTTGTGGGATGCTAACGCGTTTATAGACTTTAGTAAAGACCCGTTAATAATCCATGGTCCATGGAAGGTGAAACTTGAAGTAGAAGACTCCCCACCAAGAACGAAGCCACGAAGCCTTGAAAATGAAGACATAAAGGCACTGAAGCAGCCATGTTTGCCGAAACTGGCAGTTACACATTTGTGTGCGAGCCATGCATCGCCGGTGTCCTTGCAAGCATGGTCAGCACGCATTCCAAACTTCTGAACTAAACGCTATACAGAATCCATCCCGATCTCAGGATCACCTGCTTGCCCGCCTCGCCGCAGCGGTGAAAGCCTGCTCGAAGGAGCGCTGATCCATATCGCACCCTGTTACCAAAAAGGTACGGCTACACCGCCACCTGTGGACTGCAGTGCCATCTGTTTGCGACACATACGAAGCTATTCCGATGAGTGAGGACCGCTACAGTATTTTGCCTGCACTCCGTGTCGCGTGTGATGCAGGGCCGCCTGCGGGAAAAAGAAGCGGCCCGGGTGCTGCTGGGTGCTGCGGCGAGGTCGAGATGCTTGCTGCGCTCTGACCCAGTGCATACTCTGCTCATGTTGACCACTCTTGAACACAACGAAACAGTCAGCAATCCTCAAACCTCCACCCGGAACTTGGAAGCCAGACTTGCAGCCGCAGCCTATCGAAGAACCCTCGTTCCCGAAAGACACAAGAAATGCACCCTAACGAAATGCTGGAATTTCGCCTTGCAGGTGCCCCCGTGCTGTGGGGGGCCCCGCGGGCCTCGGTGCCTTCTTGGGCCTGGCCCTGGGCCTTCAGAAGGCAGCGGCTCCGTGATCATTGGTGACTGCTTGGGAAGATGCCACTGCAGCTATGTGGAATTGCATTCAAGTCCCTTCCTGTCGCAGGATGTCGCAGGCAGTCAAAGCTGTAAAAAGACGAAAAAGCCCGGCATAGCTAGGGACTGCTGGATAGGGAAAGAAATGGCCTCTCTACGCTCTACAAGAGGGCACGGCACCGCTACAGTCGCTGCCCAGTTTCGGAAGGATCGGGCGAAAGCACTAGTCCTGGAGCTGATGGCAGAAAGGCGCGGCGCTGAATGTTGAGTACTGGATGCTGAAGGGGGTGGCTCTATGGCCAGTTTTCAGTAAGAGGCGACCCAGACTCGAAGTATAGTGGGAGTCAATTGCAGACAAGCAAGTCAGTGGACAGATGACCCAATGACAAGAGAGATCTTGGATCAGATCTCAGCTACCGTTGCCAATGCGGTCGAGGCAATTCATACCAAACCTGCAGCGAGCAAGATCGGCAAAACGTCACCAGTTGAGGCAGTCGGCTGTATCGGCTGTCACCATCTATTGCTTGGATTCAGCAATCCAATAAAATGACGAGCTCAGCAATCATGCACTTGAAGGAAAGTCACGTTGACAGATGTTAACAGGACGATTCTGGTCAGTGGCATGGACTTGTCTCCCATTTCTGGCTCCCTAGGCACCAGCCGGCCAATGCTGGAGGCCGAGCAGTTCGTCCGATCTGGGTTCAGGGGTTAGGACCCTGCTGGTGAAGTGCAGTGGCCGATGGGCTGAAAAATGAATGAATTATACTTATATGTGTATACACACACACACACAGACGACTTGCCCGCGCCACTCGCTTTGCGCGCACCAGGTTCCGGTCTGCCGGCGCCGCTGGAGGCCCTGCTCCAGGACCCCCAGAAGCTCCGAACCGAAAACTGTGTTTTGTAGGTGTTCGGCTCTCCCGTTGGACGCTCCTTGGTGCTGTTCTTGCGGTGCCCTGTGACCTCCTGGTCCGCCGCTCTCCGGGTCCTGCGGCTTTTGTCTGCAGAGCTGCCTACAAAAGCCAGATTAGCGAGCGTTGGCAAGCAGCATGTAAGCATGTAAGCAGGGTTGCATGTTTCCCTCCGTTTCACGTGGTATTGGTTCTGCACAGGTCCGTATGCATTCTGGCTTTTGTCTGGCATCACTTGGAGGAAACTTTTTTGCCAGAGCCCTAACCCTTGGCCTCGATGATTCGGATGTGGTGCCCGCCACGCCAAACAATGGGACCATCAGAGGGGCATGTGAAGAAATGATGGAGACCATATAGGCCCTGCAGGCCTATAACCGCTAACCCCTGGAGGAACTGGGAAAGCTGCGGCCGCCAGAGATACGGCGCGGAGGTGCGGCGGAACTGAAGTGGAAGTGCACGGGATAGTACGGTATATATATATATATATACATACAGACAGTTATTATTTGTATATAGTCCCCCCACCAAATAAACACCTCAGAAATTGAAGTCGCAAGACTTGTGAGGCATTGGGTCCATTGCCACAAAAAAATGCACCACTTTACAACACGGGGGACGCCGCAAACAAGAACCCAAAAGACTCCCACGGAAGTGCTTGGGGCAAATCTTTTGGTGGGGACATGGGCCCCTTTTAGTTACATTCCGGAACCAAGTTGGGGGGTGGGGACGCTTTAAAACCGTCCCAGCCTGAATAGATACATCACCATGCGTATGCCGCTAACTTGCTGGAGTGGATAAACATTAGAGGCCATGGCATGTGCTGGCCGTTCCAAAGCCGCTGGAAGGCTTCACCCCAAGCCCCAGCCGTCGGCACGCGGCGCTGGGCAGCCCGGATTTTCCGCAGGGCCCCAGGCAGGATCGAATGCTGACGTAGATAGCAGCATCACAATATTCGTTGCGACCTCACTGGGACCTCCCAAGGATGATATGACCAGGTTTTTGACTCGCCATGCCAGGATCTCGCCCGTTCAGAAGGCGACACCTTCCACGACTTCGCCCGGCTTCCTGGCCTTCGCTGAGGCAGACTTTTTGTTGCCTCTGTGACAAGCTGTCCCCGCATCTGTGTAGAAAAGCAAGAGTCTGCACAGTGTCAAGGACCTCGTCCAATGCAATAAGGGGGTCGGGGGTGTTTTCATTTCCCAGGCGCGCCCCTTGAAGAACCCTGAAACATGGAGAGGCCCTGCCAGATCCCGACTCGGTGCCGCCGCAGCCACAGACATAGAGATGGGGAATCTATGGCATATGCAGGGCTCATGGCTGCAGTTTCGCAGTTTGGGCTGCTGCATGGCCCTTGTCGCACAGCGACCTGGACAGCCTTGTAAGAACAATCTCTTAGTGACAGGCCACTTTGCCGCTTCGCATCGCCAGTGAAGCTATGGAAACAGGCAGGATCAACAGCGGGAGCGCCTGACTCGTTGTCTGCTTGTTCAGAGTCACAGTCGAGCTTCCAAGACAGATCAGACAAGCGGCAGACAGAAGAGTCTTTGGCTGAAGGCTTTGCAGTCAAGCTCGCAAGAACTACATATTACCCAGATCGCAGACATGATAAGGTCCTAGAGCCTCAGTCCCTCGTAAATGCAACTCGGGATGTTCGGAGGTTCGGCCCTGGGAAGCTAGGACGCCGGATACTATTCGAGGCCAGCGGTGCACACGAAGCATGCAGAGGGTTTGGTTTTTAAAGCATTCTGGACTTTCCATCGGATCTCAAGGATGCCCGGCTTGGACGGACCCACTCCTTAAGCCCACCCAAGCGCGTACACTCACGCACACCCGAACAACCATCAAAGGTGTTTACATGAGTTTACGTTCTTTGCATCAGGAGGAGCATGCGCGTGAAAGATCGTGAAAGCTATCCAGAGACCAGTGAATTTGTGGCGTTTGTGCTGGTGTACTTTTGTGTACGTACGGATGTCAATACCTATTAGAGAGCTTGACACAATCTGATAGAGGGCATACACTTCTTATGGACGAATTGTGGGTTTAGTTTTCTGTGGTGCAGCACTCGCCCCGAAAGCCCTCAACCCTGAACTCTCCGCCCGGTCCTTGTGAAGCCTCCCTTACAAACTTCAACTACCCTGTAAGCCTAAACTCCCGAAATTTATCTTTCTTCTGCCCCTAAGTACTAAGCTCGTCTCCTCCAGGGAGCGCCACCTCTTTCGGGCCCTCTCTCCCTTCGGAGTCCCGGCTCCTGAGCCTCTCCCAGGTGGGGGCGGACTGCAACCTTTTGGGACTTCTGAGCGTCCTTAAAATGATTCTAGCATCTTCGCGTGGCCAGATTCCGAAAAGGGTGATTTAGGTGTTGAGGAACTCTTGAACTTGGGGCTGAGAGGTTCTACCGGTCAGTGTGTGGGCGTTTTTGAAGTTCGAAGGGCCAGATCGAGCAATTGACAATATGAGGACAACTTCATTGAGGCTTTGGGCATCATTCACATGTGGCAACTTGGTACGGCTTTGGGGAGTTCCGGCGCCGAAGGCTCCTAGACTCGCTGCACCTGATGTCCTTCGATATGTTGCCCCGTTGTCTTCGGAAGGCGCCCTCGCCGGAAGATCTCGGTGACACGCAGAGCACGGCGATGGGAACCTCGCCAGAGGACTTCGTGTGACGGGCCACGCCTCAGGGCTCCAAAAGCTCTCCAAAAGCCCTGCCTGAAAATTCCCAAAGCTTCGAGGATCCCATCAGCCCGGAGGCGCCGATCAAGCCGGATGGGGCAGAGGAGGGGGAAGGAGACGAGGAGGACGAGGAGGAGGAGGCCCGAGGGTTTGTTTGTTATCACCAGGACCCTACAAAGTCAAAGAGTTTTTTTTCGACAGGTTTGTTTCTGAAGATGTTGGGGTTGATGTGCTCTTCCAATGCTTTTCTCTCTGCTTCTCAGCCTGCGCAGGCTGCCTTCCTGGAGTCTTTCCTGACCCGCCTGGACACGGAGACACCAAAGGCAGAGGATTTGCCCTCATCCTTCAAAATTGCTGGCAATTTGTGATGTCGGGTTCTCGTTTCTAGGCTGGCAGATTCGAACAAGCCGGTGGCTTGTTTTGAGGAAAAACTTCGCTCGCCTCGTGTGCATCGAAACTCGACCGCTTGATGAATCCCATCCGAACGTCAGGGAGCGAGAGGTTTGACGTGGGTCATGGCCTGTGTGCTTGCCCCGAGGGTTACCCAGCTTGCTCGTTGACTAAGCCCAAAGGGTGACATATTCCAACGACACGTATCTCGCGTTTAGTCCACCATGATAAGGAAGGACCCTGTGCCTAGCCTACTGTCGGCGGAGTTTTCCACTGTCTGCCGCCACTGTCACAGGACAAAATCAAGCAACTCAGCCGAGCTAGTGCACGTCTATGAACATCGTTTTTGAGCCTGAGATTTAGAGTGGGGGCACGCCAGTAGCGCGAAGACGTTTCCAGCATGTCCTGAATCATCCCAGTACCGCCTCTGACTGTTAACAAGTCGTGAGAAGGTCCCTCATTCTTACAACCGATGACCCAGCACATGCTGCACAGCCTCCGGAGCTGCTGTCTATATTTGTCAGGAGGACAGAGGACCGTTAGAGGACAGCGGACCCTTAGAAGACCCAACGCATGCCCGAATAAAACGCGAGGCCGTCGCCCAAGCGCTGGCGCAGTCCTGTCCCGAGGCAGCGCGTGGTGGCCCCGGAACTGTCGCCCAAGGGACGACTGAAACAGACGAACTTGTCCCTTGGTTCCTTGATATCGGCCAGATAGTGCCACCTCTTGTAAAGATGTTTCTTGCAGCCACAGAAGTGTTTACTTCTCACACTGGTGTGCATCATGTTGCTAGATTCAGATTCAAGACGAAGTGAACGTGAGTGAAGAAGCAAGTGAACGACGTCAGACGGGCAAGTCTCAACGTCAAGAACAAGGGTGAGCTCAGGGAGGTTCTCTTAGCTTCAGCAGAACCAGTGGCCGTGCCAGCATGGGAAGCGCGCCCAGCCTGAAATTTTTCGCCGTGTAAATGCCCCAAGGGCCCGAAACCTGCCCCAACCCTAAACGATTCATGTGGGCTCTGGTCGCCATTGGATTCCCCGCCGCCACTTCCAGCCCGAGAAGCCCGCGGATCTTCCCGGCCAGTTTTCCAGTTCCTCGCCGTTTTCGCCATGGAGGACGGCACGCTGTGACCGGGGGGTTCAGCATGTGCTATCACGATGATGACACACAGTGAAGAGCAGGCTCGCCGATTCCGGATGTGCTGCCCAATACCAGGGTGGTTGGCCTCGTCGTGTGGGTTGGGGCGGGTTGGGGGGTGGGGGGTGGGAAGGGAGGTGGAGGGAAAGTGTTCGAACCGTGAAGCAACTCTTTGTACAGAGGATAGAGGATGCGAACATGTTCCTTGTCCACAAGAACACCCTAAATCGGAACTGCGAGTTTGGTGTGCCGAGTTGGGGGGGCTGGGCGGGTGGGGGGGCGGGGAGTGGGGTGGGGTGTGTGGCTGAGCGCAAAAATGCCCACGGTCGGCCCCCACACACCTGTTGGCCAGGAAGGTGCGCGCAAGTGGTCATGGTGTGTTGGGGGGGATTGGAGGTGGGATACCTGTTTCATGCTCCCTTTTTGCCATCTAAGGCCCAAGGCCTCGGCGTACCCATGGTAGAGCCAGTGTATCTCTCAAAGCGGCCGTTGGCCCGCAACATTCTCCTTTGCTGCCGCCATTCTCGAGCTGCGACAGTTGGGGATCTCAGTGCCAGCATGCCTGGAAAGTGATAAGGTGTGTATGCTCATCGGCTCATGGCAGAGGTGCTCCCAAGCTTTTTCATAGGATCCAGGAGCTTCGAAAACTTGGAAGCATAGTTGCTTGCTTTGCTCTCAAACATTTTCAAAGCCATGTGCACGTGGCTCTTTCTGTCAGCGATGCACAGGCCAAATTCATTTCTTCGGGTTGCGGCCTGAAACATTCAAGTCACTCCATCCGCAAAGGCGAAGGATTTGCAACGGCTGACAACACAACCAGAGCCGTGTGAAATGCATCACGCCATGCAATCATTTTTCTTGCATCCTCCTAGAATACGAGCCGATGTTCTTGTCATCCCAATCTGCTCTCATCATAGTCGATCGCATCTTTATTCTTTCGCCTGTCGCTGGGGGCAGAGGGTGCTGGCGGCTTCTGGGTGTTCAACGGGAGCCCCTGCCTTGCTAACAGCGCCATGCAATGCCAAATGCAGCTATTCTTGCGCACCCTCTCGTCGTCACTGGAATGCCTTCATGCTTCTTCGGCTTGGGGTAGCAGCCGTCTCGATAGATCTCTCACGTTTCAGTGCCGGCTCGTTCGGGTTCAGGTTTCTGGCATCTTCAGGCATTCATTTGGACGCCTACAAAATCAATGCGCGAAATAGGATAGACTTGTACTTGTGGCAAGAGCCAACCCCAAAACCCTATGCCCTAAACTCAGAAAACCCTGAACCTCAGAGGAGATCAACTTTGTCTTCGCGGACCGCGCCCAAGTTCCAGGGTGGCTCGGAGTGGACGTCCAGTATGAGGTGGGGGGAAGAGGAGCGGAAGACAGTATACAGGTATGTATATATATATAAACATATGTATATACACATACTATACGATATATTTTATTTATACACATATATCATATATTACAATATACAATATGTAGTAGAGCGTCTTTTTTTCAGGGCTTTGCCCCATGGTTCGGTTTTTGTGAAAGCACGACGTGCGCACGGGCTCCTTTTTGCACGCAGCCGTTCTGGGAATGTTGCTGCTTCCGTCTTACATATTTAGCCCTCTTTTGGTCAGAGCATGCTCGGAAAAAAAGACAAAAACCCCACAAGACGCAATCCCAAGAAACAGCCCTCTGCAGACTCCCCGTCGATTCATTCCACTTCACACGCTGCTGGCATCTCTGGTGCCAGGTGATTGGACGCATCCTGGAAGTGAAGCCGGACAGGATCCTTCTGGTGCCCCCTGCGCAATGGGGTTGAGGGTTGAGGGTTTAGGGTTTAGGGATGTCTAAGGTTTAGGGTTTAGGGTCAACGACGTTTTTCCCTGAGCTTGCTTGCTTGGGTCAACTCGAGTTCGAGAGCTCTGCATGCAAGAGTCCCCAGTCCGTTGGGAGGTCTGTGAACAGACGGTTGATGACATGCACGGCGGCTACTTCACGCCCTTGTTGGAGGCGCCCATGGGTCCAAGGGCCTAGAGCCTTTTTGGGATTGAGGTGGGCTGGACCTGCAGCATCCGCATCGTGGTGAACTATACAGTGAAGCTCCATGTTTGTAGCATGGTTTTCAGGCTGAGGGACAGTGACACTTTACTTATGGCAGAGGCAGGGGCCTCCGGCGGTGTTGGCGACAACTTCCACGCCGAGCCCGTACCACCATTGGAGAAGTGCCTTGCTGTGCGGGTGTGGAGAGGTTTCTTACTTCGGGCTCGCAGGGTGTGTGTGTTCAGGTCAGGAGCCCTTGAGTCGAGGGATCTCTGCCATCGCTGACCCCGGTTCGGCTACGTCTATTTCGTGAAGCACGAGAAGAACAGAACACACAAGAAATGTCGCAGAACGCTAAGGCCGCTAAGGCCCCCCGTTAAGCTTTCACAAGCTTTCATTTTAAAACCCCCAAAGCGCCCACCAGGATTGTCCTGCCCAGCGGCGACGAGGCAAAGTCCTGGGACCACTTGTCGCAGCTCATGGAGTGGCTTGGTGGGCTTAGAGGTTGTGTGCTGGCACGCAGAGTTGGGTTTGGGCTTTGGGCCTCAGGGATTTTTCTGCTGAAGGCCCCTTCAGAAATATGAGACCTTCCCAGCTTTCCGGCTTCTATGGGATGTGGTTTTAGAGACTCTTTTTGAATGCGGGGCTACTTGTAGCTCCTCAGTGGCATGCTCGAGATCGAATTGGAGTGTGTGACATAAGTATGGGTTGTTTTGTGATTGTCTGACAACAAGAAGGAAGAAGCCAGTGGAGCTTCTCTCAAAACGTGCAAGCGAGGTGGGCCTTCAGTGTCGGAGCCACCAAGAAGTCGCTGGTCGTGGCCGCAACCTTTGACTTTTCAACGGATGGGGCTGGGTAGGACTGGACGAGTGGACTCATCCTCACACCGGGGCTTTGCCATCTTTTGGGCATTTCAGTCCTGAGCACTGGGATCATTTTCAGAACAGGAACACGGAGCTCCAGACTCCGTAAAGCTGTCAGAGAATGAGAGAAAAACCTTCTGAGCTCCAGCCTTAGCTCCGAGGCCTTCGGTGGCGGAGCCCTCATGAGACTTGACGGAAATCAGGTCGAAACGAGTAATTCCCGGATCTAGACATACTATGTCCTAGTGCACTTGCTGTTTTGAACTCCTGCAGCTTTAGAGACTTTGTGGTCACCTCAGCCTCAGGAACGTGACAGGCCTGTTCGCCTCGATCCTCTACCGTGGCAGCAAGCTGATCTATGTCCCTGGCTAAGCGGCCACGCTTTTGGGGGCATCTGCTTCTGCCTCTCACTGCTTCTACATGCCAAAAAAGCACTATGCGGCTCGAGGTGCCGACCACGCTTCTGGCCATGCATGACGTTACAACGTCCCTCAAGACCTCCATCTGTTACAACGGACGATGCCCGGGCTGCAGAATGCCTGAAAACACAGAAAACACACAGAAGGGCAGAGAGCCGGCAGTTTGTTTTTGCTTTGTTTTCTCCGGCCGCTTTCGTTGTTTCTTGTGCCGGCCTGACATCAGGAAAGAACAACATCGGCTCCTTCTATGCACCCCTGCCCCACGGCGAGAACTTCAGCCATCCTTGCAGCTCCGGAAGTTCGGAAGTTAGCCCTGGCTCCCGTAACCCCCTCCGGTAGCGGGGACTGTTCAACGCGGTAAAGCCCCAATGCTATTGAACGAACCCTTCTTGGTCTTAAACATTCCCTACTTCAAGAATGAGATGCTTTCTATCTCCCTACTTCAAACATGAGATGCCTTCTATCTCCCTATGTATGCTTTTATCAGGGTACCGAAAACCAGTCAGCCAAAGCGTCTTGAATCGGAGGAAGATTTTGATCGACGTGGGCTTCTGTCGGACTTTGCCCAGGCACTTCCAGGGGCGGATGGTGAACAGCTAAGCCGAAATGCATTTGGGCCAGGATGAAGTGTGAAGGTTCCGGGCTCTAGAGGCAGGAGGTTCCGTTTCGAAGGAGATCTATCCCAAGCAGTACCTCGAGGGTGGCCATGCAATCATGCGTCTGAGGAGGTATGGCGGTAGTATTGCTGAAGCATCTTGGACCACCTGTACATCATTGTCATAATAGCTTGTGCCCCTCAAACCGAACATGCTCATCAAGTGACTTGGAAACCTCCAGCTTGAGCCCTGAAACTTCGGTCCACTGAGATCCAACTTCCCTGCCTCCGCACAGGGCGGAACTCTTCTCCGGCCTGGGCGAACTCGCGAAGAATGCGGCGTGGGGACGCCTACAAGGAGAAACATGCGCCCGAAACGCTGAATCCGAGACCGGGAACCTCCCCAGAACAACTGGTCATTCGCCTTTTGTGCTGAGGCTGTTGGGTGGGAAGCACGCGGATGGCTTCCGCAAGGAGACGTGCATAGGGCATGGGGGCATAGGGTCTTAGGCAGTGTCTGCAACTGCTTCAGGGTCTTTGTGGTGTTGCAGGGCAATAAAGGTCCTTGAGGGTTTAAAACGTTACAGCAGACGAAAGAAACG